GTCTTTGAGCTCCTGAGGAACTTTATTGAAGCATCAATTTTGGCGCCCCCTGTGGTCAAAGATGTGCCTCTTATCCTTTCGCTGTTCCTGTCCTGAACGTTCATAAGCCTTGCTGTCTAATGGGAAATAAGAAGAAATAAGTGCATTATATAGGCTAGCTTTAGTTTTGAAAATGTAAACAAAGGATGTTTCTGCAGCACGCTGTAACTCACTTCATACCTCACCTACCCAGGCTGAGTGGTTACAATGATTGAAAATTACAATATAGAAACTATCACAGATGTCACTGATGATCTTGTTTGCTTTGGTAGTTCATGTAGAGGCACCAGTATTAAATTCAGCCTGCTTTATAATCAGTTAAAAAGTCCTCACAGGAGCTTTAAAAGAAACACTTTTAGTGCTGAGGAATCTTCCGGCTTTTTATTGCCCCTCCAGGCAATCTAAGCCATGAAAGACAGCCTTTTCTACTGAAAGTGAGTCCTATCAGATGTTATCTCTGTTCACTACACTATCTCTCTTTATTGTGTTGACCTACATCTTTTAAAATAGGCCTAAAATAAAAATAAAAAACAGAAAACACACTGATAAATGAACAGATGATGAATCCCAAAAGGATGACAGTCGTGGTTCATTATTGATAGCGCCCAGGTAAATTTACACATTTGCTCATTTCAATACATAGCAAACACACAAAAAGGATATTGTACAAATACTGAAAGAAGCCTTTAACTTCACTGAAGGCCACCTTAAACATGATGTAGAAACACTCGTGAAAAGCCAGAAATGAAAAGCGTTAAACTGTGGGAGAAACAGCTCACATTGTCTGTCAGTCTCAAGGTTAGTGTTGCACTAAGTTGTCCACATGAAAAGGACAGAGATAGAGGTGTCAAAAGGGAAAAAAAGAATGCTTGGTGTAAAGCCCAGTTTCTCACCTCTGCTTTATGCCAAATAACAGCCACTAATATGAGAGAAAAGGTTCAGAGGAGGGGGTTTACACCACTGTTTAATCAATTCAAAAGCACCACTACAGTCACCATTATTATTGCCTGTCCAACCAGTCCATAAAGGATTTCTACTCCAACACCATAGCTTTGAACTTAACAGTTTGTCTTTGTTTAATGCTTCCTTTCACTCGTGCATGAGTTTGCATGTTTCTATCTCCTTCATTATTTGTATCAGTTTGCCTGTGTTGGTCTCGATGCTTCACAAATGCTGATGACATTTATTGCAGAGACGTCTGCCTCTCCTAGCAACGTAATTAGACATCAAATTTACATGACTTTGTAGAGACACATGCAAGAATCAAGACGACTCCCAGTTTTGCACCCTTTGATATTTTCTCTGTGGTCTGTGGTTTTCTATCACAAAATCACATGGAGCGCATTATGGCCTTATACTTCATCTATATAGTATATAGTATATATAAACCCTCAAGGAGTAAAGGTTACTGCACAAAGCAACACTGTGTCACGTTGATGGTCTTTATAAATAAAAGCAGGGTGATGTAAACATACCAACATATGAAAGAACCATTGAATTCACTGCATCTATACTGCTGTGAGGCATTTGTGAACGATAACAGATATTGATTCATCATCTTTTCTCTGCTCTGCAGGGGTTTCCAAGGTTCTTCTTTCAGTTTTTTTTATGTAAAAAGTCTGTCAAACATGTAATTATTGCCCCCACTTTAGAGAAAAAGGCTGTGCATGTGAGTGAAGAGTGTGTATGTTCTTGTGTGTCAGTGATGACAGTGTGTCAATACTCCTGAATGAGTGGACGTGACTGAATTGACAGTCATGTGAAGGCATGTGAGTGTTTCACTGCTCACTGCTCACATCTAGTGGTGGAGGGACAAACTGCAAGCTGACCATCACTCATGAAATCTCACATGCATTGACAAAAAGCTGCAAAGGTACCAACTCTGTTTTTTCCACATTATACAACAGTAATACTAATATTTAGTGTATAGACATTTTCATGCAAAGAAGCAGCTCGACAAAAAGAGCAGATTTAGAAGAAGCCACAAAACGCTTTTAAAACAATTCAAATCAAATCAAATCCCCTGTGTGGTGGTCTCAACTGCTTATGAAACAATACATTCAATTGATATTGATGCCTTCAAATGACTTACAGTATAAAACGTTGAGACTATCAGGCCCAGATTGACTTCTTAGACAGTATATAGGCCTGAAACCTCTGTTGTGGTAAATACTCAAAAAGAGTAATTTGTTTGACTGTAAAAAGAAAGCTGGATGAGATTTTACTTTGTAGGAATGTACAGGACAAGCTCTTCAAAGAGACAAGAGACACTGCTATTTCCACAGGGGGGGCGCTAAATATTGACACAAACCAAAAGTCCCTCACAAGAGCTTTAAAAAATAAAGAAATAACAGGATGAAAAAAAGGGGAAAAAAAGGAAGATCCCAAACAACCAAATCAGTCGAGTTACAATAAATAAAAGAGCAAAGGCCTGCCATGTCATATTCTAAATCATTGTAATCCCATTATTTTTGATGCAGTCAAATTGGGATATTCATTGATAAACCTGTTTCTGAGGCAACTACATATAAGGGTCAAAAGCGCACTCCTTCTCTGATTAAAATCTTAACACACAAACATGATGAACCAACCTTGTTTCTGTAGTCTAATGAGTGGTTCAACATCAAGCCTGCTTTTCATAAATGACCCTTGTGACAAAAGTTGAGTATAACACCATGTGTGCCTCAAGAAGGGATGCATGAAATCTGTTAAAAACCTTCTAGTTGTGTCTTTGTTTGGCATTGAGAATTTTGTTGTGAGTAAAATATTTAGAGAGAAAAAAGAGAGTTTACCTGACACAGTGGTAACCCAGGTCCTGTAGAAACAGCAGACACACACTCTGCAAATTCATTTAACCTGGAATATAAGGTTTTAGTTCTGGTTGTGTAGTTTGTTGAACTATCGTTCCACCATTATCTCTTTTCATTGTGTAGCTAAAGACTGAATAAACGCTTTCTAGCATGGAGTCAGTTTAAAATGACAAACAGGAAAAGAAAGCAACCAATGGGCTTTTAAGTGGGAGGAAACTGGACTGTACCAAGTTAAGGGAGATTGTTAATATTCAGGTGTAGAGGCTCTTCAGAGGTGGCAAATGTCATTTTTGAACAGAACTGCTGGCAAGTTTAAGACCCTGTGGTAAGATGCTGTGTTACAAACAACAATGATATATCTACATGTTATATAAATGTTGCTGCTGAGTGAGTAAAACTTAAGACAGATCAACTAAAAGTAGACAGTATTCCATAACGCCTGTTGTTAAAGATGGAAAATGGAACAAAATCTTGCACATCATTTTCAGATTGATTGAGCCCCTAGTAAGTTGAAGGTGGCTTTTCTTCTCTTTCGGCTGACTATAGAATTTTCTTGTGTTGTTTTTTTTTTCCAGTCAGAATTTCTTTGTCTGCCTGAAAAAGCCTATATAAATAAATAAACAATACATCACCTGAAGATTGCTCCTGCCTTTATGTGTTCCCCTTTCACCAATCCATCAATCTTTTACATTACTCGACCTCTGCTCCTCATCTTTGTTGTGAGCAGAAAAAATTAGAAAATCGTTTTGTAGTTTGACCCATTGACTGTATAAAAATGTTTTCGCCTTATCCCACTTTATTCTGCAACGACTGGTACTCTTTCATGAAGCTCTTTCCAAAAGGAGTAGAGACTTTTTAGCCAACATTTATACAGCGTTGGGCTGTAATAGCGCTGCAAATAGAGGCATTAGCAGTTTACTCATTTCTCGGTAGCAAAGTTGCTGTTAAAGAGGAAATATCTATTAACATAGTTTAAGTGTTTCATCGGTTATGTAGAGTAGTAGCTTCCAAACAAGCAACATTTTCCCACAACAGTTGAAGCGCAGCGGAGCACACGGTCTGAAATCAAACTTATAAGGATAAGTAAAAGACACATTCGGATGTGTATTTGTCGTGGACTATCTACTTCCATATGACGGGGACATCTCTGTCTAACCATTGAAGCCTTTAACGTCCCTTGCTGCTGGCTAATGTGCAAAGGTATTAGCATGAGTTCACTTACTGGAAATGGGTCAGTTAGTAAGTTGTTCACCTACTATCAAAGGGAAGTGAGGTACACTTTCATTTATTTGCTTGAAAAGTATGTAGGCTATGAAGCTAATAATTTGAGTAAAGAAATGTCCTAACAAGTAAACATACATAGACTTTGACGACATAGTGTTCAATATAATAACAATCAAATTATAATAAATGAGAATTGCTTTGATGTAGCTAGCTATTTTTGCCTTGCTGCTGTAGCTTAGCTTGCTACATTTCTCCTAGGCGTAGCAAAGCTTGATTTAATATTGAGTAACTTGTAGCTTAGCTCACTACATTTGCCTACCTTGCCCAGCATTGGTTACACATTATAAGAAAGATTCACATTTCTAGCTGCCTGTAGGCCTGATGTATGCTAGCTAATGGTATTGTGCCGTCTTGCAGTATTGTCAGGATGTTACAGATGACTAACGTTACCGCTTGGTAGCATACAAGCTATAGACTTTGTTGTTCTAGTTTACTAGATTAATTCTGACCCAATGTTTGCTATTGTCTTTTCAGATGTTTATCAGTTGAAAAGCTAAATTATAACAGCATTTCAGCTTGGCAGCCTGAGTGTGAGGTCAGGGGAAAATGGCTACCGGTTGAACATTGTGAATTGGGGAAAATAACGTGGCTAGCAACATGAGGCTACATTAGCCGCTGCTAGAATAACACACATGAATTCAACTGAAATGGGGTTCATTGTGATGCATTGTGGGTGATGGAGACAATTGGTGAATGGTAAACAGGAAAACTCCTGTTAATGTGCGTCAATGTTAAGCCTTTTAAAAACTGTTTTTTATGAATGGCAGTGTTATAGCAAAAAGGTAAACCTCGGGAATATTTTTGGAGAGGACTGTCAGGCTTCTTTTTTTCTGATCTTGCCACAAACAAATGACAACACACACTTTGTACGGTGGTTACGCCCCCTGTGGGAGTGCATTGGTAATAACTTTATTGCAAAAATACAGGTTCCCTCTTTCCCCGAGCAACACCACCCAGAGTTGACACGCAGTCTACAAACACCCACAAACAATGAGCCCTCTGAAGTTAATCCTCACCTCTGTCTGTCTCCTCTACCATCACATCATTCACAAACACACACTTTCATCCTTTGGTCTACATTCATTCGCTCTCTTTCTCCCTCTTTTCTCCAGCCTCGTTGCTCTCTTTTTGCATTCCATTGGTTAAAACATAGTAGTAGATGCAGAACAACAAAGTTCACCAGCAGCATTAAAACATGAGATCTCCTCCTCCTTCTCTCCGAGTCTCTGCCGGAGTCCATGAGAGTGCCAGAGGGTGGCTGTGTCTGCCTCCTGCACTGTCTCTGATACAGGAAATCGTGAGGGAAGGTTGATTTGCATAGCGGACTCATGCGCTACAATTGGCTACATTCTCCCACATCCAGAAACCCCAAAAAAACAAACAAAAAAACCCAACAAAATCTGAACATAAATGAAAGTATAAACAGCAACTTTAAATACCCTCTCTGAGTTAAGTGCCAACCTTTGGTTTAGTAACGATCAATCAACATCAGTAAATTCTTGGAGAACTTTACATTGGCCAGTTTTGTTATTTTTTGTATAATTTCATAGAATAAAGCATATAGTAAACATACTCTACACAAGTCAAAACGCTCCTCAGTAAAGGGGGAAGTAATATATGTTATTATTGTTCATTAATATATAATAACTGTTCATACAACTGAGGAATGGTTGACATCTCTGAAGAAGTAGCTCCCTGGCTGAAAATATACCTCTAATACATATATATCATATAAAGCATAATCATAGTGGACTGTCTCAGGCTGAACATGAGCATTTTCTATTCACAACTGAGGTCTCCAAACCAGTTTCATTGAAAGTAAAACGTGTGAATTCATAAGTGCCACTAAAGTTCACCTGAGGCCGTTAAGGTAAACAAACACAATCAACATCTCTCCTGCAGCTCTTCGGTCCAAAAGCCTTCAAAAAGTGCACTTCTTTCAGGTACCCTTGCAAAGCGCACTTGAGTCGTTCCCTGTTTAAGAGAACGGTTTCCTAACCTACAATTTTTCCTTCAAGACTTTCCTCCCCTTGTTGGCCTATTTCTGGTGCTACTGTTTCCTGTTTCGGAAGAAAATGAAGCAAGCGCGAATCAAAGGGAGCCAGAAGGAAAGAAAGAAAGGAACAAGAAAAAAGAAGCGCTTTTCTTGTTTAATCTCCCGGTAGAAACGGGAGAGCTGTCATTAGGTCGGCGAGCGGTTTGGGGGGTGGGGGTGGGGGGTGGGGGGGCGGAAACTCCAGCTAGACACTTGTGAAGTGCACTCCACTTCTATTTGAAATGCAGACATGAGGAAGTACCACTTTAAAGTTTATCAATATTTCGTTAATTATCATTATCAACATTCCATAAGGTCTTATTAATTAACATACAGGTTTCATACATGAGTTTTTCTGTACATGACTTTTAGTTAATAGAAAGTTCGGTCTCGGGCGGGTTTTCACTGTGCGCGCACACAGGAGAAAGAAAACAAAGAAACCCAGAAAAACAAGAAGAGAAAAAATATGGCTGTCCATCTGAAATAGACCCAGTTCGGCTACGTGTGCGTCCAACGAGAAATGCCCGTGAAGAAAGAGGAAGAGGCGTGGCTACTTAATAAGAGCCTCTCCCCTGAGCTGAGGGTCCTGCTGGAGGAGTCTGCAGGATTATCCGGGTCCAAATCAGACCTGGTCAGAGAAGGGAAACCCTCAGAAACCTCAGGGGGAGACGAGAAACAGTCCCGGGAAGAAGGGGGGAAGGTTGAGGTTGTAGTTTGGGGTCAGAGTGACTGCATAGACAGAATAGTAGGTCAAAGGAAAGGAAGGGAGGTAGGTAGGGAGGGAGGAAGGCAAGGAGGGTCTAAGCAAGGTGCTGCAGGCGCTGAGGGAGGCTCTACGTCAGTGCAGATGTGTGCGTGCATGTTTTTGCGTGTGCATGTTGTTTGAGTAGGAGGAGGAGGAGGAGGAGGAGGAGCAGGTTGGAGGTTAGTTTGATCCTCCTGGCCTGATTCCAGGTCCGTCATAGCGGGGCTGAAGAGAACCCCTTAGCCGCTGGCCCCTCTTTGAGCCGGACGGGGTGATGTTAGTGAAGCAGAGCGGGACTCTGGTCAGAGGAGAGCTTGACCCCTGTCAAACACAGCCAGAAACTCCCTGCACCGCCAGACAGCTCCTGCACAGGAGGAGGGAGAAGGCAGTGAGCCAGAGATCAAATGAGCATGAGGGCGCACCTCAGATTACACAAACAAAAGGTTATTACTGTAAGTGGATTACTTTGAAATGGTTGATTTAATAAGAAATACCATTTAGCTGTCCACAAATGTCCTGAGTTGTGCATGGACTTTTTTTTTTTACGGGTAGAGAATTTGTTTCTTGACATCTCAAAACTTCTTAATTGGCTAGAGCATCAGAGACATCATCACACACGTCAACCGTTTACATTTTATTCCAGAAGATTTGATAAATTATATTTGAATCAAATTTTCATACCCTTTGCTGAGGCAAAACACAGACTCATTAAGGAAATAAATCTATCTCGAGACTTTTTTAAGGGGAGCACATTTTTTATTCCAAATGATCCATTTCAAATTCTAAAGGTCTTCTGCATCAATTTAAGACATGCTCCTTTAATTTATCATCGGAAACATATTCTTGGCAGTCACTTAAGACAAAGTTCTGCGAATGACTGCACACCAGAAGAACTATTCCAGTACAGGCTTGCTACTCTCAAAGACATTGAAACAAAGAAAAATTCATGCAAAACATGAGAAGCAACAACTTCCCTTCATCAGTATCAGCAACAAGCCTTCAGCTATTTTTCTAATAATGAAGAGTAATGTTGCTCATTCACTATGTTTCAAACCTGACTTTAAGCTCCACATATACAAACATCATCATCATCACAGTGTCCTTGTTTCTGAACATGCATTTGCATTTGAAGCTGGATCAGTTTTTTTATTTCAATGTCACAGTTTGATGGATTCAATGTGAGAACTGCTTCTATCTAATCCTGGTTTTTGGATGGATGTGGCGTTTGCATGCACTGATCCTTTAAAACCTGATCATAACAAGGATAATGTTGTGCCAGTCAACATGCTCACTGATGAAGACAAGACAGCTGTTAACATGGGGGGGGGGGGGAATATTATGTTCTGGAGATCAGTTAAACTACTTTTTTCATTTGTTTTCACCTCACATCCAGAATCTGACATCTGATTTTAGGTGCAGCGTCACCTTGGTGATTTGTTTTCTTCTCTTTTATATTTGTAACAGACTTTTTTCCTGGTTTGCCTGTTATTTAGTCGCAAACACCTCAGGCAGCCTCACAAATGTGATTTCCAGCTTTCAGCCGAAGCAACGGCTCCCAAACTGATATACTGCGTATTTATTCTGAAAACGTTCTTCCTGTTGTCAGTGTTGCCTTCATAGCAGCTTTTTCTTCACTAGTTTTCTGCTATTTTATCATCTTTCTGCCTTTCTTTCTAGATTTTATATATTTTAAGTTTTTTGCATTTATTGTCTTATTTTAAAGGATATCTGTTCACTGAGTTGAGGAAGAACATGCTGGTAATATCTGCAGGAAGTTTTAACTACATTTGACACATGACAGATTTGCTGAGGGATGAAAATAAACTCTTGGCTCTCCACAGCAAACACAAATCAGTGCACTTCCCCGGGATATAGCCATGTAAAAATAGGAGCTTAGCCTACTTTTGTACTTGATAAGTCTAGTATGCCAAAAAAATAAAATGTTTGCCCAAAATTGTTGTACAAATATATTTACTTTTCTCATCAGACCGTATTTAAACCATGCACACTCCTACAGTGTGAAGCAGATGAATGGTACTTTGCTTTAAATATCTTAAGTGTAACGTCATGTGAGCTCAGCGCAGTGTTTACCTGTGAAGCGGTGGAGGGAGGTGGTGATGAGAAGGTGTTGGTGATGAGGAGGATGAAGGAGATGATAGTGGTGGAATAGCAACAGGGACTCAGAAGAGAGGAAGTAAGCAAGGCGAGGCACTGACATCAGCCTGCTTCACCTTAGAGCGAGAAAGAGAGAGAGGACAGGAGAGAGGCAAAGAGAGGACGACAGGTTGGAGATCGAGAAGCAGGACAAAAGGAAGAACAAGACAAACAGCGAGGAGAAGAGAGCACAGGGGAAAGCAATGTGTAAAGTGCCAAGGCGGGACAACAGCCAGGTGCAGTTCAACAGCAAGGCCACAAGAGGGCAGCAGAGCACTGAAAGTCGCACTCACAAAGCTGCGGGTTGCAGTCAGGCGGCTGCGGCGCGGGGTCACTACTGTGCCACTCAGGCTGCGTCCAATTCGTCTCAGGTTCTCCCCATCATCAGGCTCCGCCCCCAAACGCAGATCCCGCAACATCATTGGCTGCAGAGGGAGAAAATGTTTGTGAGTGCCTGGAAAATGTATCTATTGTCATATGAGGGGTTTCTTTTTCTTTCTTTTTTTTAAGATTTCTTTTTTTGGCTTTTTGTGCCTTTATTGGAGAGATAGGACAGTGGATAGAGTTGGAAATCAGGGAGAGAGAGAGAGTGGGGAAAGACATGCAGGAAAGGAGCCACAGGCTGGACCAGAACCTGGGCTGCTCGCTTGGAGGACTACAGCCTCCATACATGGGGCGCACGCACCAACCACTGCGCCCACAAGCGCCCCCCCATATGAGGGGTTTCTGTTAGAATGAAGACGCTAACACTACCTTGTTGAGGTAGGTGGGGGTGCTGGTGCAGTCTGCCCCGTACACGCTCCTCTCCATGTCTGCGTTGGGGGTCTTGGAGCGACCCTGCCCTCCCACCCTGGATATGAGCTTCTCTGAGGGGCTGCAACCTGAAAACACACACATACCAGGCTGGAGGTAAAAAATGAGGGTCTCTATAAACAAGATAGCCGTCAATTTTAATGGAAGATTTTAAAGAACCGAAACTTGAAATGTGAGAAGGTCATATGGAAGATCCCACTGACGCATTTACATATTTACTATCATTCTGTTCAAGCCATTTTTTAAGTCATTTTTAATCAACACAATCTATGTTTTGTGCATCAATTCAAACACATTATCCTGAAATGTGTCCTTGAACAGTTTGGATTAATCTAGGGTTAAACTGTGTTGGTCTATCTCGTGAAGTGGGTGATGTAGGACGTACAGTATGATCGAGCCTTGAGAAGAGAATATCCTGTGCTACGTTTGCTCAGCATGACTATTTATTAGAAAGTCACACGATGCTTCAGTCGCTCTGGACCGTGTCAAACGTGCCCTCAGAGCACACTTGACAATTTTCTTGTCCCTGGTCTACAATTCAATAAAAAGTTTGTGTTACAGCATGTCTAAGGCTTTTCAAGATGCTTGGCAGAAAAGTAATTAAAGCAATAAAATGTAGAAAAATAGCTGGAAATTCCAATGAGCAGATACCATTCTGTTTTGTAAATCAACATTTCTGCAAAAATACTCTTAACATTAGAATTAAACTGCCAATTGAAACCTAAAAGGACAATGTATCTCCAAAGACTTCCCTTATTAGCTCATTCTTTGTGCAGTGTTTTGTCTGAGAAAAAGCATATGGAGAGTACATTCAAACGTGGGGGGGGGATGTTATAATGCACAGCAGCAACACACACTGCAAACCCACAACCTTCTTAAATACCAAATGCACAGTAGTGTGTAGTTAGGGAAACAGCCGAGGTTTCTGGCTTGTTTTCAATAAAGAGCAGGGAAAGTCCGAGCAAAATGATGCTGAACTAGGTTTAAATAAAATGCTTATAACATGAGGTTGGTTCATTTAAAGCCTTGTCTCTAGTAATCAATCAGGAATCACATCAATGTTCATACCAAACATGAACTTAAATAACAGCTTTTATTTTTAGCAGACAAACAGTTTGGGGTTTTTTTCAGTTCATTGACAGCATCCATACATTTCTCTTTGTTAGTATGCACTTTCCAAACCAAACTTAGTGTCTATAAATAATAATTATTATGATAATAATTTTGATTTGACCTCTTAATCCACCATGTGAGAAGATTCACTTTTAAATAATAACAATGACTTGTTAACGTGTGAGCTCAGAATATCTGCTGGATGTTTAATTCACTGCTTGTGCATAACTGATTGTGTGCGTGTGTGTGTGTGTGTGGTGTGTGTGTGTGTGTGTGTGTGTGTGTGTGTGTGTGTGTGTGTGTGTGTGTGTGTGTGTGTGTGTGTGTGTGTGTACCTGTTCTTCCAGCCAGCAGACTGGCCTGGTAAAGAGAGTCAAGTTCCGACAGCTCAGCCTCTTCCCGGTCACAGAAGGCATCTCTGTGTTGCCCTGGGGCATGCTGGGAGCTGTAGTGCCCGGGAGAGGACTGGCAACTGAAGCTGTAGTGCGGGCTGGATGTCTGCGGCCTGATGGGGACGCAGCGGTCTGGGGGCGTGTCATACGGCGTCACCACAGCATCGGGACGGTCCAAACTCCAGGAGGACCAATGGCGCGTCCCGCTGTCAGCGGCGGCTCCCTGCAGAGGCCAATGCTGCGCGGCGCCCGAGGGGGATTGGGGCTGGGGGGGTTGCCACAGAGGCGCAAGAGGTTTTCTTTGCCCCGAGGCTTCCAGAGGGGCAGATGGGGGAGGATTGGAGGTGGGGAGGGGAGGGTGTGTGTGTGTGGGTTCTAGGTGTGTGTGGTGTGCGGCATGTGTGATGTGTGTATCCCAGAGACGTAGAGGAAGCGACGGCAGAGAGATGGCTAAGTGCTTCCCCAGAGGTCTGACACTCACCCCCCCTGCCTGCAGCAGCTCGCACAGCCTCACCCCTGTCCCCTCATTCCGGTCCTCGCCTTCCTCCCCTCTCCTTCCCACGCATCCACCTTCCTCCTCCTCTTCCTCCTCTCCTTGGCAGGAAGGGGCGCACGGGTGAGGGATGCTGAGGGTGAGCGGGGGCCGATAGGGTGGAGGAGGTGGGTCCTGGCCCAGAGCAGCGTCCTGGTTGGGCGTAGCCTGGTCCTCTTCCTCCTCCTGATTGGGCGTCAGCAGTACTTGGACCGGGCCAGGCTGTTCACTGGAGGACACAGGAGAGGGAGGGTGTCACTCAGCAGGCAGCACGGGGCAACAGATCCAAAAAAAAAACAAAAAAAAAACACAGAGCTGCTCTGACGTCAGGTGAGTTACTGCATAGAGGGAAGGTCACAACAGTAGGCCAGGATAAACAAGCAGAACACGCACGCACGCACACAAATACTCAAAAAGCTACAAACACACAATGATGCAGCCTGTGCAAGCATCGCTTTGTGTATGGTGATAACACAAACATGCTGCTCATGAGTCAGCCACAAAGCAAAGCTCCTCTGATCAGCTGCACATTCACCAAACTTCACTTTCTGATTAAAACAATCCAAAAAAATGTGTTTTAATCTGATTATAAAAAAAAAAAAAACAGCAGAGGCACTGATGCAGTTTATCAACACTGAGGATAAATGTGGCCTCCTCAGTCTGGAGTCATTCAGCCTCAGCGGGCCACTATATCACCTTATTGATTTACATACATTGATATGATATATGTTGAACATTAGAGGATCCTCTCTGCAGAGACGTGCTACACATTCTTCACAGTGGCAGTGTGTGTGTGTGTGTGTGTGTGTGGTAAACTTGTGTGTGTTGGTATGTGCAAACAGCAAGTCTGTAAATTTGTGTGTCTATTTAAAGAAAGCATGCACAAACCTGTGCGTGCGTCTGTGTGTGTCTACGTGAGTGCCAACCCCCCATCCCCCATGTTAACTCTCGCCCGTCTCTTTTCAGCCTTAGTAATTACCCAGCAGGCTTTGCAGCGGCAAGCTATAAATCAGAGGCTTGTGTTGATCAATAGAGGAGAGGAGGGAGGTAATAAAAGAGGCTGAGCACTGAGCTTCTCCTCCTCCTCTTTCCTTCCCTTCATCCTGCCGTTAACAGTTTGGATTTACAGTTGATTAATTTTGAACTAATTTCGCTCGTGTTAAACTGAAGTCTAATGAAACTGCGAGTGAACCTGACATTATATAACCGAGTTCTAGCGAATCTAATCATAGCCTCTACCTGAGTAATAACCATCAATTCAGCCGTTTCAAATTGCCGCTGCAAAGTCTAATGGGAGAATGTAAAAGTTAAAACTATAATGACCTTTTGATGACCTTTAAGACATATAAGGGAATTTCTCATCCCCACATTTCTAACTTGCTCACTTGGTATGAACCTAAGAACCTGACAGTTTGACCTGAGATCCTCGATGATATAAACCAGAGGAGAGTGGGCCCTCGGATCTGGAATTACGAGGACTAATACATTATTCATGAGTATGTTTTTTAATTAGTGTAAAATCCTTTCAAATTCAGAACCGTGGTGATGTCTGTACTTTGGAATGAGGATTCATATCTAGATAGCGCATCTACAGGTTTCTATCAAAAACCAAAAACTTGAAGAAGAATACGAATTTCGAGTTTCTCGACCACCTGAAGTTCTCCTACAAAAAAGGAAGAAGAGGATGGGGGGCTGTGGCTGTGTAATTTTGCCTCCTCATTGCTATGGTATTCTCACACAACTTCTGAAAACCTCCTGAACTTTCTCGGTCTGCATGTTTGAGCTAAAAGACAGATGTTTTTCACCCCAATAATACCCGTCTGTCAGGGAAAGTCTCCCGCCATGAAGTGCAGATGTGAATAAGCGACTAAGGAATATTTCAGGGGCGGCTTGTCTGCACATTTTCTAGAAAGCATGAGTGAAAAAAAGGCTCTCTGATCAATGTTTTCTCTTTTCAGGTGGTTTGATTCATCATTCAGTTTGGTAAAATCCCAGGAAGCTTTGAAAACACGATGCCCGTTACATCTTTTTTAAATTATGAATTTGAGTTGGTCCCTTACTCAGGTTATAAATGAGCTTATAAAAAAAAAGACTTTTTTAACCATGCAAAGCCACAACTTTCACACTGACGCTCACTTTCTCTTCTCTCAAGCATCAGAACTGACACATCAGGAGGGAACCGTCACACAAACACATCACCAGAGACGAAAAACAACAAAGAGGATTCCAAACAGGATCTGTGACTGCAATCGCACCGCAGAACATAGAAACACAGTCGAAGACACACACACACACACACACACACACACACACAGACTGCAGCTTTCCAGTGCACAGAAGGACCGATCAGCAGCACAAAAAGAGCAGAGGGAAGCCTTGGCAGCACACGGCTACAAAGAGCAACACAACAACAATGAGGGGAGGCAGTGAAGCACAGCGAAGCAGAGAGAAACTCTCTCCCTTTTAATCTCAATGGCAACACATAGCCCAGCAAAGCAGGTTTTTTACTGCACTGCAACAAACACACAAACACACAGAGGCTCTGAAGTTACTGTATAAAGTCAAGTGTGTGTTTTTTAGAGCACACACACATTCAGACACACATACAGCAGGATTTGAGAGTGGAGTGCTTGGGGTTACAAATACAGTGGGTTGGGGGGATTTATTTTGGCAGCCAGAGCTTGAGACACACACATGAGTCCTGAGTTTAGGGACAGCTAGAGCTGAGGACACACACAAAGTGAGGGAGGGAGGGGATCTCAGAGGTTTTGAGACAGGCACCTGCTTCGGACACATAAGGGGTGGACACTGGTGGTACCTGTGAGGACCCTGTGGTCGGGCGCTTCCTGTCTCCCGTTCCATTTCCTGTTCCTGCCCGCGTTTGATTGGGCCCCCAGTGCTCCTCATGCACGCAGCTACAGCCAATCCACTATGAGCGCTAGCCTCATGCAGGGGTCTGAGCACAGCTGAGGATGTTAACAACAGAGCGGGAGATAAAAAAGAGAAAAGACAGAAAGATATAAGGACAGAGTGGTGAGAAATGAAAGAGTGAAAGTGGACTTTAAAGGAAACAAAAAAGAGACAGAAACACAATATGAGGGTAAAGAACAGGTGAGACCAAAGAGAGAAAACAGAAGCAGAACAGAAGGAGTGGTTATGAGGGGGCTGGCATGCATTACGCTCGTCTAATGTTACTCAATATGTGTGTGTTGATTTAATACATGAATGCAGTTGCAAAGTGGGAGGATTTATTTTGTGAATCCTAACATCAGTGTTAGTTGTTTTTTTTTCTTTCTATAAGAAATAGTGGGAGAAAGAAGCAAACATACTTTAAAACTAGTCAACAAAAAAATTCCAAGTTGCTTTTCGCTAAAAACGTGCAAAGCCAGAGCTTAAAATTCAGTTGTTTGCGCTGCTAATAACGAGCTACATTAGCCTCAGATAAAGCTTTTTAGAAATGGTCACATTCAGATTCTGGTTTGATTCTAGATGAATTAAGTGACTATTTTATTTTCCTTCCAAAATACAATCAAGATATAATTCCAAGCCACTTGCTAGAGCGATTTGCAACTTCCTAGTTAGGCTACATGTAGCTAGCTTAAGCTAACCATTCTCTGTGACACAAAGCTGAGTATCATTAATTTATCTTAAAAACTAGATAATTTATCAAAAAAAAATTAATTACACATATAGTAACGTATGGATAACAACCTAATTTCATAAGTAATGAAATGAACCTTTACTTATTTAAGTACCCTCAGGTGTTTACTTGGTCTGACGTGACCAGTAGCTTATGATGGCTAATGTTAGATAACGCTAGCTAGCTAACAAAAACGTTAACACTCACTATGCTTCTTTGTGTTAAATCATATTGAGGCTTTATCATTAGAAGTAAAAAAGTGGATATTTTATAGTATGAAAAATAATCCAACATTTAGCATCTCCTCCCATTTAGCAAAGTTCTACTGTTAATGCATCAATATGTGAATTTGTACTGTTGTTAGTTAATCCAAAAATCGAGATTAGAAAAGGTGAATAGCAAAGTTGAGGCTACGTTCATCAAGCCAAAGACACCAGACAGGGAAAAAAGACAAAATGTTTTTTTCTCCAGACAGTTCTATGTGCCCGGCTTTGTGAACGCGTTTTAAATGATGTTAGTTTGTTATAAAAATATGAAAAAGAGGACAACAAAAGAGCAGCCATCCCCCATCTTGGCTGGAGTTTACACATTTCTGATTGATGGAGACAGAATAGAAGAAGACTGATGGCAGCTCTGTTGTTGTTGTTGTTGGCTGTAACGTCCTCTAAAACACTGAGGCAGATTGTTCGAGTCCGCCCGAAACCATCGATACGGACGTAGGAAAACCAAATTCTGTTACGTAACCGCACTGATAGTGAGGCCATCTGTTCGTTTGCAAGTCGTCCTTTCACTTCATCAAGGTTGAGTGTACTCTCTCAGGGGTGGGTGGGTGTGTGTGTGTGTTTGTGTGTGTGTGTGTCAGGTACATGAGGCTAAACACACTGAAGCTGACACAGTAGGAAAGACAGGACACAACATTATAATCCCTGATACAGATTTAGTTAGTGCTGAGCTCGGGGGGAAAAACCAGCACACCTGCAGTTCATACATGGATCTTTTTCACACACATACAAATATACACATACACACATTTTTCAAAAATAGTACACACACACACACACACACACACATACACACAGATTTGTGGATTCATGGACAAAATATGCATAAAAGAAACAGGCATACATAAAAACTACTGGGCCAAAAGTCTAATCTGTCAGAGTCTAAAGTCAAGGCTCTTATCATTCTAGTCACGCAACATATCTGCAAAGTGCAAGTCGGGATACAAGTTTTTCAGGGTCTATCGTTAAAATGACGCAGCATGTGATAACTTTTCTTTTAAGCAGAGTAATCCTGTAAGTTGTGTGGTTAAGATCTCAACGCGTTGTGTGATTAAACATAACATGTTATGGGTTTTCTACTTTAATTTTCAGGAATTTAATATATTGCCTCTAAGTATAAAGTAAACCTCACAGCTATTCTGCCCGTGTACAGTCTCAAGCAGCGGAGATTCAAGAGTCTGTTGAGGCCCTAGGCAAACATTGATTTGTGGCCCTTCCAACCAATATTATATCTACCAGTGTCCCGATGCTCTTCATCTTTCTTTTTCCCTCCCAGACATAATTCCTCTTCATTTTCGTTCAGTGACGAACTTTGGTTCTTGCAAGAATATTAGAATAAGAATATAAGAATAAGAATAAGAATATTACAGGCAGTGAGTGCTGTCAGATGGGGCCCCATTAGGGAGGTTTCCTACTGTCATTGCAAAATTTGCTAATTTTGAGCTATTGCTGCAGTTTTACGTTTGTCAGCCTTCGGGGGCCCCTTACTGGCCTGGGGGCCCCAAGCAGTTGCCTGCCTTGCCTGTTGACAAGCAGCGCCTCTGGCCTCAAGTAACGGCAATTTTGCAATTTTGCACAATAATTCTAACTACTGATAATTATTAAAACAGAAAAACTATATAAGAGGTTATTTAGCAGAAGTCTCTTTGGTTACAGGATTAACACAGGTTTTAGTCATTTTGAATAAAGAGATGAACTCATGGTACCTTCACCAGCTCTACTGAGAGCATCAGTTTCTTAAAACAAAAGTTTATTGTTCATTGAACCCATTTTATTTAAGACTTTAACAAAATGTATGGACCACCAGAGTGACATTGGTACTGAAGGAGCCACACAGTCACAGGTGTGAGATAACACCTGATATCAGACCTGACTGGAAAAACAACAATGCAAAGAATGCAAAGGCTGAGATATAAACATAGACTGTAGGTCCATGGTAAGGTTGTCAACATTTCTTCGATACGTTTGGATACCAGATGTTTCCAAATTAATATTGAAAAGTAACAAAGCTTTAAAAGCTTTAAAATAATTTCCTGTGGAAGTGGTTACAAGCACACAAAATAACTACGTGGAAATAGTCGATCCTGTCGCTGATGGTCTTGTTTACTTTTGTAGGTCATAACCAGGCATCAGTTTTCATTTCAGTCTGTTTCATAACCAGCTAAAACTCCTGACCGGGGCTTTAAAAAAAATCACTGTTACAGTTACATCAGTGTTTTAGACTTTGACAGGGATTGTGAGTTCTTCACCCAGAGTTAATTTCCCACTCAGTGCTGGTCAGTGTAAACATGTTGGTAAAGAAACTAACCTGCAGGGGATTCTCTTTCTGCTTTGTTCAAACTTACACACTCACTCCCATGGATGACGCACACACACACACACACACACACAAATACGCCATGAGTTATAGTAACACACTCTGAACTAACAGACACTTTTTAAAAAGACAGATGGAGAGACAAACTAACAGATGGGAATGAGGACAAAGAGGAGGTCAGACAGAACCACCGACATACAAGTCACTGCTGAGCTAGACAACAGGTGCTAATGTGACCTTAAAGCTGCACCAAGCAAGATTTTAACATTAAAATACACCTCATCAGCCTGGAGAGGGAATGACGCACAGCATTAAAACTATGGTGGCTTACAAGGGCAAACTTTCTACGCATACATTTATGTCTGGAGAAAGGGAGCTGCAGCTTCAGGAACAATGACGATTCAAAAACACGTACAAAATTAAGAGAAAAAAGTCCAAACAAACGCAACAGGAAACGTTTAAAAATAACGGAAGTCTTCAGGCCTCTAGGGGGAGCTCTAAAGAGAACAGTTTGGGGTATTTCAACCGAAAGAGAAAAATAAGACGAGTGTGAGATGGAAGAGAAATTTTGTAAATTTTTAAAAAAAACGTGGGGGGTTTCTTTAAAATATTGTAATATAGAAAATGACTTCCATAGAGCTCCCCTAGTGGTCTCCAGAACCCATCATGTTTCCCCCTGATGTTGGTTGTTTTATGCTGCATTAGTTTAAATTCAGAAATGTTGGATATGATTTTTTAAATAGCTTGGTTTCTATATTGACATAATGCTATCTGTTGTTATCAGTTTGTCCTTCATTTACAACAGCCCTCCATGTTTTCTGTTAGCATGTTTGGAGTTGTCAGCCGAAGTCTAAAAGCATCCTCACCTACTTCAGTGAAAACATTTTTTTTTTAAAATCCCTTCTTTGACTCTTTTTGGGGTGATATTTTAGATTCGTGCAGCTTTTAATATCCTCGTTGTTTGACCTTCTTCTTAGAGGATAAGTTCACTCAGAACAATATGTCCTCACTTAGTGGTTGTGATAAGTATCTAAGCTGATCTATCTGTTAGTTTTGGGCATTTCCCAAAGGAATAAAAACTCTATTCTCTTCAGTATTCTGGAAGAATAGAACGATATCTAAGAGAGGAATGTCAAAATGCATTACATGTTTTCTGCAAGTTGTGTGAACTGACTTCCTTGATTCTCATTAAAACCTCCCACACTATCATCTACCATACTCTTCTTCTTCTTTCCCTCCCACCTGTCTCTTTCGCTCTCTCTCTCTCTTCTCATCCCTCCTCCCTCCTTACCCTGGTGTTGGAGCTGGTCCAGGTCCATGTATTTGCTGGGTTTGGGGTTAAATCCCATGGCTGCTTCCCGCTCCGCCTCCTTCCGCTTCTGCTGCTCCTGCTGACGAGCTCTCCTCGCCACCTCCTCCTGCAGCTCGTCCAGCTCGCTGCGCCCTGAGCCTGAACGCACAAACGCACAAAGGAGGGGAAACAAAATCATTAAGTAAATCGAAAAAAGTGAGTTACGGTGAATGCATTTAAATACCGACGCGAATGCACACCTGAGTTAGTGCCGCCAACCCAGCTCGGGGAGGGCAGCTCCTGCAGGATGGCGCTGCTGCTCTTTGATTTGGGAACCGAACGCCACGAAGGTCCTGACATCAGCACCCGTTTCTGTTGCCCCACCTCCCTGAATGGAGAAAGAAAAAGTGAAGAGAGCAAGAAAAGAGACAAAAAGAGAAGAAGAGTTAAGAGTGCATGCGTCCCCAGACAAATATATCCATTGATTGATTTGTTGGGACGACTATTGTTGGACAATTTGTTGTTGTTAATGTCACATTCCAATTTGAGGCTGTTAAAGTTAAATTGAACGGAAAATCAAGAGTGACAGAGAAAGTCAGAGGGGGAAACAGAATGAACGACAGAGGCAGAAGGGAAGAGACAGTAATTGTTATGTGTGAGTCTCCTACCTGTCAGGGCTGCTGCTGTTCCTCTCGCTGCTCTCGTAGCCACTCTCCATCCTCTGAATCAGACGCGGCTGGTGCTCCACCCCTCGCAGAGGTGGAGGGGCAGGGGGACCCATTGTCCGCCCGCTGCCAAGAGACCTGGGCTGCCCGACCAGCCCAAACCCCGCCTCCAACTCCCCAGCCCCCCTCCCTCCTGCCTCTTGTAACCCAGGCTGTGTGGGTGCAGGAGCGGGTCCTGCTGGTGGAAGAGAGTCCTGGGGCTCGGGAGGGAGAGAGGGACCCGGCAGGGTGCTGTAGCCCAGAGAGGAGCCTCTCGGTCGGGTGAAGATGCTGTCGATGTTCAGGGCCTCTCTTCTGGGCCTCCAGGTGGGCCTGTAGCGGCCTCCAGAAGAACTACAGAGGAAGAGAGGAGGAGGTTTTTCATCTCTATGAAAGAGCTTCCAAAAATAAAGTAGAATAATTCATTTCAGAATTATGCTGAAGCAGTAAAAATAACTGACCTACAAAATGACTTAAATACAGTTCAGTCAAGCCTCACACACAGACATTGTAACCATTTATTGCACGGAAAATTAGCATTTTAGATTCAAAATCTGGAATAAGAATACAGTCTGACACAGCTTTTATAACGTTTTGTGAATAAAACCACATATTGGAGGACATTTTAACATATATTTAAAATCTTCCTGATAAAAATTCACTGTAGAGATGAAGGCAGCTGTTAAAGCAGGCAGGCAGGCAGTCCAGCAGCTGCTACTGCAGTACTTAAAAGCAGAAAGATTCTGGTGGGAGTCACGATTTATTGAGCTGTATGTGGCTTAAGTGACTACCAAAGGACCACCCGGACCTCCACACATCTCTCTCCATCAGTTATAGATGGTCTTTACTCAGTTTATATATGTTAATATGGCAAACTGAGTCATGTAGGAATACCAGTAAGTTCACTCAGGTTCTAAAATTTGAGTTACTTCTTCTTGACTTCACTATATGGACCGTATGATGATGCTGCTTAAGATCTCATGTAAGATGTTTCATGTTTCTTTATTTACTCTTTAAAGCACTTTGTTTGTCTTCAGTTGTTTTGAATGTGCCATATTAAAAAAGTTAATTTGACTTAACATCTGAGGGAGACATTTTCAGGATTTCCATGGCACAGTACCTGGACTTGCTCTCACTGCTGGTGCTCTCATCCTCCCAGTGGGGCCCTCCTGCTCCTCCCTCGCAGCCCCCCACCCCTGACGACGAGGAGGAGGACAGAGGCCGAGAGGAGGAGGAGGAGGACGTGAGCGGCCGGCGGGACGAGAGGAGGAAGACGGCCGTCTCCTTGTACTCCGGCAGGGGAGGAGAGGGAGGACGGGGAGGACCCTCCACCGCTGACTCTGTGTGTGTGTGTGTGTGGGAGAAGAGGGAAAGTAAATCCAATAGTTTTCTTTTCTTGTTTATCCCACTGGGAGCAATTATCCCAGCAGCAGTGCCTGTAAACTTAAGAGTAACCAGTAAGGGGGGGCGAAAAAGCCTGAAGAGTCTGCAGTGATAAAACACAGGGAGAGAGAGCTCACTTTCTTTGGTCTGAAATTTAAAAAAAAACTGACCTTTGCTCTTTTGGTATTTGTTTCTAACAAGCACCACAGTTTAGCACATCCTCTTTCTTTCTTACAACGGCTACTTGTGTGTTTGCAGCTGTTAGGAGCTGCCATGATTTTTGACTGAAAAGTAGATAACTTCAGACTGGAAAGCAGTCTTACCTCCGGCGTCGGCACTGTGCGGCGGGGTGCCGATGTCGTAGTTACAGACGACAGTGGTCTGCGATTCGCTGGAGAGGTGGCTGCCCGTAGACTGGTGGAGGGGGTCTGCTGCGGGAGGCTCTGTGACTGGAGCTGTCTGTTGAAGAGTCGGTACGAGTATCACTGGATATGGATGGCTCCCGACCTGAGAGAGAACACGAGGAAAAAAAGGGAGATGACCTTTCAGTTAATCCTGCGTCTCCATATGTTTGCAGCAGAGCAAGTTCTCAGCAGTACACAAAGCTAGGAGCTGGATTATGGGGCTGAAGGTCAGAGCTTTGAAGCTGTAACCTGACATGCATCCCCCCCCCCCTCCCCCACTCCCCCCAACCCCCACGGTGATAAACACAGAGTATTGGGATCTGATGTTTTGTCGTCTCTGCTGTACCGGAGTCCTCGCTGTCGTAGCCGGCTTTGCTGCTGCTGCTGCAGTGCTGGAGCTCCAGCTGCGGGTTGGAGCTGCTACAGGGGTTGGGGCTCTCCTGCAGTATCACCGGCGTCCCACGGGGGTCAGCATAGAGCAGCAGCAGGGGCTGATAGTGGCCTTTGATACAGCGGGATACCACGTCCTTCCACTTTGGGCCAATCTGGAGGTGCAGCAGGGCGACAACACACACATATAAAGACACACATTAACATACATATTATCCCATAAACACACACAGACACACACACAAAGGGTATGGTAAATTAATTCTTCTTTGAGAAATAACATTACTCGTGAGGCATCAAAAGTAGAAGGTCAAACATGCATTGTGCAGCTGTGTGTCCTTATTGATATAGCGTCACTCTTTTTCATTAGCTGTGTAATCTAATTAGCTGACGGAAGTGTCAAGGGCATGCACAGCCACCTTATCTCACATTTTTGACTCAGCAAACCTGACCAGCTTCCATCGATTCAGCCGCCACAATATTCACATCCTTTTCCAGCCGTATGGGACATAACTCACGCTCAAATCACAAGGTATCACATCACAAGACGAGTGTCATCTGCGCCAGAATGTACTTAAAAGGCAAACACCTTATCAGTCAAAAACGCCCCTGCTTCAAAGAACTGACCATGCAGCACTCAAACTAACACACAGCTTAGTACTAGTCGTTGCTGCTCTCATCGGCTCAGCTGGAGATGCAGCAGATACCGTACATCAATCCCCACCCCCACCCCTCCCCTCCTGCTTCTCCTGCCCCGTCCTGCAGCATGCAGCCTCCAACTGCAAACTGTGTCTCACCTCTTTGACGTGGGCGTCGTCGAAGTACATCCACTTGCGTATCTTGGTCTGGAAGAAGAAGGTGGAGTAGTGCTTGCCGTAGTAGCACACCATGCCCACCAAGTAGAGCTCCGCCTGGCGAGCCCTCTCCTCTGTCACACGGTAGAACAACTACAGAGAGAGAGAGAGAGAGAGAGAGAGAGAGAGAGAGAGAGAGAGAGGGGACAGAGGGAGGGGGAGGAGACAGGGAGGGAGGGAGGGAAGAGAATAAGAGGTGTGCATTAAGAGGAGGGATAGAGATAGAGGAGTTAACGAGACTACAAGCACATTTTTGCTCACTTGTGTATATGCTGTATTCAGTCATCCTTTACATGCATTCTCACCTTCTCATTATTGCTGCAAATCTGCAGCAGAGTGCCACAAATGTGCTGCACACTATCATGCAGAAGTGATGCACTGATCTCACAGTTAGGTCTCAGCACTAGGATGTTTGTTTAAGAGAGTAACTTTCCATATAGTCATATGTTGTTGTGTTTTCTAACATTGTGCACGATCAAATCGACTGTTACTAAACAATTAAACTCAGTCACTCTGGTGGGGCGCAAATGGCCGAGCAGATAAGTCGCACCCTGTATGTATGGAGGCTATAGGAACATTAGTGGCTAGGAACATCCTTAATGTCTTCACGTCTTTCCTGCTGCTACATACAGTATGTTTAATACAGTAGAAAATATAAACAACCCATTCAATTACTTTCATTAGAATAATCTTTCAATATAAGCCTATTTCTCAATCTGTTCTGTGTCAGAAAATAGCCAAACATCAGATTCCCCCGGCTAATTTTGCGTTCATTTTCCTTCTTTTGTATGACCAACAACCCAAAACCTAGAAATATTCCATATTCCAATGTCAACAAAAGATAAACAGCAAATCCTCATATTCAAGAAATAAGAACCAGCAAGTGTTTTTCACATTTCTGCCTGATAAACAGCTTGCAATGAAGATGAATCAAAACTGTTATCTCGTCTTTGCAACAGACTAATTGTCCCAACTCTGAAATGTCCTAATCGGAGGCAGAGGGAGAACTTAAAAAAAAAAAAAGAGTCACATGGAAGCAGAAAGGAGGGAGAGAACAGATGCAGAAGACGGACAAAGAGAGAAAGTGAAGGCAGCAGTAGATGAGGAGGAGGGGGGAGGGGGGGGGTACAGGAGGCAGATGGATTCATTTTTTTCTGATCTGAACAGCTAAACAAAAAGCAGAAAATGTGATAAATTATGCCTACGATTCCTATCTCACCACCAGCTTCATCTGGCAGCGACGGAGGGATGAGAATGAGAGCGACAGCAGCGGGCGGAGACAGCAGATAGAAGGAAGAACTCAACTCGCTATTACACACACTCAAATTCACTGATCCATAATTCATAGATATCACTTCAGAATGCGACTGGAGATGTTACAGTAGCATTAAAATGCATCAACATTACTCAGTCATGACACAGAGTATCAGGGGCCAAACACGTGTGTGTGTGTGTGTGTGTGTGTGTGTGTGTGTGTGTGTGTGTGTGTGTGTGAGTGAGTGTGTGAGGTGAAAAGCTCGAGCACAAGGCCGAGGAACCCTGAGCTTTGTTTGAGAGCAATGACAATCAGGTGAACGATTTGATGTGTTCGAACTTCGTTTTTTTTATGAACGCTGCAACGGGATTGGTCGAGTTTATTGGGCAGTGCACTGCAGCATGCACATACATATAATCTGCACATGTTCATTTATACGTATGTGTCCTTGAATGTGCCTCTCAGTGTTTGTTTAAACATGCCTCCAGGTATTTTCGCTGCTCAATGTGATGTCAAGTGTTTTTTTTTTTTTAGTTAGCTAGTTAATCAGAATTGGAATCGTCTGAACCAAAACGACCCACCATATAAGTTTGTCTGACTTGTTGTTTCATGCTTTAACGCCTTTAACTACTACTATATAGTAAGGGGCAACCTCCAGTGGCCGCAGTTATAATAATGGCAGCAAAGGAGGAAGTCAAGTGACAGAATGAAAAGATTAAAATGACGGGACAGTCTGGGGAGGCTGTGTGAAACCCAACGTCACGTTAACTCCATTTAGGTTCTGCAAAACCATCTCATAAGCCCCTTACACACATGCAGTGCCCTCCTGAACATTTCCTGACATTGTCTAGTCGGGCCACCATGCCTGAACACAAACAGCTAAATATTTTCACCACAATAATTCAGACTTTTTCTCAACAGCATCCTTGAAGAAGGCTTTAAGTTCTTCAAATGTACAATTGTTGAAATTCTTGAAATGTGTTGCTTGTAAAAGTGTTTGAAGGAGCCAGTCTGTACAGTACATCCAGTCAGACACACACTATCACAGCCTCATTTCCAGCCAGGAAACACCCTGACATTTACACATGTGTAGCATTGAGGACATGTTACCTGACATAAGAAGGGACATTACGAGATACATTTAAAAAAACTTAACTTCCAGGTCCTCTTTCAAAACAATAACAGTGCACCACTTTTACATTTTGGTCAGTGTTGTAGTTTATTTCTGCACTCATGATATAATTGTTTAACTTTGATTCAGAATATGCATCACTGCTGAACGAGAGGCTGGAGTCATTTACCAAACAAGTTGACTAAAGTCGGACCCGAATGTGACGTCATAACTTCTTTAATAACTACCTCACAACCTTAACACGCTTTGACAAAATGACTGCACTTTAGAGTATTTCCTGAAAAGCTACAACATCACAAGCTGGCGTCTTTAAAAATGTACGAGCACGATTTTAATATTTTAGTCTGGACCAAAGTGGTGGACCACATGACTTGAAAAATTAAGAGAGGTTTAGAATCTGTGTGTGCAATTTCTTTTGTTTTTTTTTCCCTGGTTTACTGTAACTGTTATCTCTTTAAAAAGCCTCGACTCGCTGCCTCAGGCTCGTGAATCTATTGTTTCTGTTAACAGATGTTCGTCTCACTGTTACACATTGTCTGAGGGGCAGGGGCGAAAAATAGAAAGGGCACCAGCTGCATGCAGCGGGGCAGCAGCGATCCCAACGTTTTCTAGTATGTAGGGCGGCCTGTGAGGCACTGTATCAACTTTTCTACATTGCAAGAGCTCCCTGGAGGGGAATTTATCCTGTTTATGTATCAGAGGGCTATCATAGAGGGTACTATTGCAGCTTTTTTTTTTCTAAATTGGAGACATTTGGGGCCCCCCTGAGTCCACTAGTGTCTGGTAAATGGTTACACACGGAGCAAAACACTCTTTCAACAAACAAATGTACATAAACATGCCCGGCTGCTTGCATAGGCACACATGACGGACGTTAATGTGTTGAAAACGAGCGTGTTATTTGTTTGTGTGATCCCCTTACGTCGCCCAGACGCAGGCAGGTCCCCAGGCTGTGTATGACGTCCTCCGCCAGGTCCGAGTGGTCTGAATCCCACACCAGCCCGATGGAAACGATCTCCGGTGAGTTCATGAGCACCCGGCGGATACGCAGCACCTCCCCACAGTTACTCTGAGAGAGAGAGAGAGAGAGAGAGAGAGAGGTGAGAGAGGTGAGAAATTAAGGAAGGAGAATGTGTGATCAAACAGGTTCATTCATCCTGTTTTATGAGGCTTGTGTGACAGCGGTGTGCGACGCTAAAATCAACCATTTATTTGTCAGTGATGAACACACACGCCTGTATGCAGATACACACTCAGATAAAGTGGGAAGTGAGAGGCAGAGATTAAAGGCGGGAGGAAAGAGATGATGAAAGGACTTTAAGAGAGAACGAGAGAGGAAGGAGCAGTGTGCCGAGCTGTATTTGTCCCTCGGGCCTTCTGTCGAGTTCAGAACCGTGTGTTCTGAGTCCTTCCTTTGAGTCATGACCCACCACAGAGCTTCAGCGCAACACACACACACACACTCTCGCAGAGAGCGCACACACGAGCATGCACGCAGCGTTGGCAGAGCCGGCCTCAGAAACAGCCTGAGAACACCCCGGCAACGAGACACTTTGCCAAACACTCGCAAACACACATATGCACAAAAAAAAAAAAAACCACACACAGAACTCTCCCTTTGTGGGCGGTGGGACGCCTCGAGCTGGCACCAAATAGGACGAAAAGGAAGGTTTTTCTGCCAGGGACTGCTTCTCAATTCTCAAGAAAGACACAAACATGAGCCAAACAGCAGCGACACTCTCAGGCTATCTGTTAGCTCAGGACACATGCGCAGGACCTCAGTCGGCCCCTCCGTGCTGTCTCACTGCTGGTGACAACATCATCCGTCACATGATGGCTCAAACAGAGCCGCTCCGCTTCACGACACACAACACTGATCGCTGCACACTCGTCTCTGGATCTGGATGTGCAAAGATTTTCTCTCAGTGCACCGTGGCTCTGCAGACCCCTTCAAACAGGCAGGAGAGTTATGTAACAGTGCTGCCGGTCAAAGGATACTGTAGGTTTGCAGAGTGCTGATCGTTGCATTCTTCAGGGCAAAAAAAAAATGAAACAACTTTAGGGAAATCTTTGTGCTTCTGCTTCCTCGGAACTCGTAAGAATCCAAAAAAAAAAAAAAGACAATCCCACTTTGTGAGTTTTAAAGCTGAGGTGGCAAACTGCTCACATGGTCAACAGTAGAACACCTGTCACGGGGTAACAGAGTTCATACCATGGAGCGTATATGAGTCTATGGTTCATACTTAAAGGATCATTCTGGTTTGTTAGAACTCTGGTGTTAATATGTTGTCTGAGCCTTTGTTTTTCATTACTGTACACACATACAAGAAGTTATTACGCTGTTATTTTAAAAGTTTAAATTATGATATTTTGGGGTGATGGGCGTGCATTGGTTAGAGCGTGCGCCCCATGTATGGAGGCTGTAGTCCTCCAAGGCTCCTTTCCCGCATGTCATTCCCTACTCTCTCTCCTTGATTTCTGACTCTATCCACTGTCCTATCTCTCCAATAAAGGCAGAAAATGCCAAAAAAAAAATTCTAAAAAAAATAAATAAATTATGAGATTTTGCACCAGTGATTTGATGATGACATGTCAGGACGCACTATATCACTGTATACATATTTTGTCCCACCTGATATCAAAAGTGTGTTTTTTCTCTACATTTTTTGTCATTTGTGAAACAAATCAAAATAAATAGAATAATTTTTCCTACGATACAAAATTCTGTTTCAAGTTAACTGAACTCAGACAAGCCTTTGAAGTTGTACTTTTATTTCCTGCTTTATTAAACACTTCTCTATATCCAAAAAGAAATGATCCTCCACCTAACCCCTCTACATGTTACCTGAAACCAAATCTAACATGAAGATCAAAATAACAAACTGTCAGTTTATCAAATAAGATGCACTGTTGCAGATGAAACCTCGGAGCAGCATGTGACGGAGTTTAAATCAGCTCCTCTTCAAACACTCAAGACATCAGAAGACTCCTTTCACGTTGATACTTTGCTCTTATTCTTAGAGGACCTACTTAAGAGGCAATCCCTGCTCTTATCAGTTTGTGACTCTAATCCTCTTTGTTAAAGTCTGATAAGTACACGGATATGTATGATATCACGTCTCTGACGAAGCCCTGCACATTTCAAACCAGCAAAGAACATAAAGAGGAAGACAAAGATACAGAGATCTCACATGTAGAATTAAAATCAGGGCTGGTGGATATGTAAATATTCTCAACTATTAAAGCTGGGAAATTGTTTCTGATGAAGAGTGAATGTCTGATGAACTATTTTGTGGTTATTTATTGAATATTTGGAACTGAAATCAAAGCATCGCTTGAAATGAAAACGACACATTTTAGTTTTAAGGTAGAAATGAACTTCTCTCAAACAGTAGAAAAGAAATATCTTGCATTTCTTGCAAACTGTTTTTCCGCAGTGTTTACATTTGACTTATTGTTGTTCGGTGTCGTCTTCCCTAAAGACAAAATGTGTCCAAACGACCGACTTTGCTTCCATGTCGCGGATTGGATGTGTCGTCACGTGACTCCGCCGTGAAAATAATCGAAATAATCGACACGGGGCAGATTACGTCGGTTAGAGTTTTTCGATTAATTGCCCAGCCCTAATTAAAATTGATCAAATTTCTGCAGAAAAATCATACGATGGTGTATGATCTGACTTTGAAATCAAATATGTTATTGCCTCAACCTCAACTCTGTGTCTTTACATTGAAATGATGTTATTTTGAAAAAGTAAAAGCTGTGAAAACCTCTTTTTTCTTTTCCTATAGATTCAATAAATTGGATTATTTTTAGCTTATTTATTACTGACAAAAAAAAAAACATATCCACCACTTCACAGTTTCCTCTTTGGCACCCTATATTCAGTCTGGCACCTACAGTATCTCCCAGCAGCCTCTCTGCCATCCAAATAGCATCACTTTGTTTGAGCCGAGCCCAGTGTGGTATTAACAAAAGATCAGCGCTGCCAGTGATGGAAGATAAACAGAGGCAGGTTGCTCAACTCCCGCAGGACTGCGCACACACAACGTGAGCGCCGGGCTGGTGAATACGCTCGCGGTGTGTGTTAACGCTTGTGTCGGTGCTGCTGTGCGGAGGAGACGGGGGCCGCTGAGCGGGCTCTTTTGTGCCGATACTTTGGCAGAGAGGAGCGGGCCGAGCGCGGGGGGGGCCAGGCCGGATCTATTCAGCAGCAGAACTTTCCCATGAGGCAACACAACACGCAGAGAGCTACAGAACCAATGCATCTTCATGCACGTTCCTCCCTCCACCTCGCTCACCACCTTTACCTTCTCTCTCTCTCTCTCTCTCTCTCTCTCTTGACTCGTGACTTTTCCTCCATGCAGCACTTTCTTTACTTGAGGCTTGTTGCTTTTATCGAAGTTTTTACCATTAAATATTAACATTTTTAAGTGTGACACTATTTTTTTTTTTTTTTTTAAATGTCATGGCACAACCGACTGTTCTTTGTCTCCTGCTGCAAGAAGATGATGAACATTTTGTTTAACTGTAAAAGAAGGCTGATGACGACGAGTCAGAAAATGTTTCCGGTAATAGAAAGTGAGGAGAAAAAAACGAGAGAGGGGAAAATGCAAATGAGCTGCTTGTTATGTAAACGCGAGACGCACCAAGAAAAGAAAAGGAAAGGGGGGGGGGGGAACAAAGTAAGACATGATGAAACTAGCGAAGTGGTTACGCTGCAAATGATATTCTCAAACTGATTCCACACTTTTTTTGTTTCTTTTATCTCTTCGTTTGTTGATATTTTAAATTAAATTTAGAAGATTTCTCTTTTTTTTTGTCAAACACAAAACTGAACTCGTAGCAGAAGAGAAAAAGAAAGAGAATATAAAAGGGGACAAAAAGCACGAGGTCTGCTATGTTCATGTGTTTTCTGAATGTGTGTAATGTGTGTGTGTGTGTGTGTGTGTGTGCTCTCACAGGACAGTTGCGCAGGTCTCCCATGTTGCTGGCATTGCGGAGCAGCTCTCCAAACATGTCCGGTGTGGGTTTCTCTCTGCACTCCAGCATCCTCACCGCCTGGTTACTGCAGCATCCAAACACACACACACACACACACACACACACACACACACACACACACACACACACACACACAATCATTAAACAACAACAATATAACACACTATGGAAGCAGATCGTTTATAAATAGAAGAAAACATCTATTGTTTGGCCTGATTGTGACTTGTTGCCACCAGAATCATTGTCTCCATTCTTCAAACTCGTTATGTTTTTTTGGTTTTTTTTCTGTTCCGTGGCGCTGAGCGGTAATCTGCAGACAATTGTTTCATTTTCGCTCGTATTTCTGGCTGAAAATCAGTTCAGACGCTTTGAATTCTGCAGTGTTTGGTCCGCTCGCTTTGCATATTGCTTAGGCAACCGTTCACTGCACAGACTGAGTCAGTCCCTCAGGCTTTTCCTCATCTGCTTTAATTAAGAAAATAAAACAAAGGGGATAGAAGACGAAAAAAAAAAAAGAAGGGAAAAAGTAAGAACAAGTCTAGATTATACAGTCGTTAAAGGCTGTAAAAAGATTCCCTCTGAGCACGTTTTTAAATCCTGTCGAGCAAGATTATGATCTCTGACCTTCCTAAAGTGGTTAAGCTAAAAGACAATGTTCCAACAGGGAGCTCGAGCAGCGAAAGGAACATTATTATTGTTGCGATTATTAAAGGAACAGTTCGTCTTATAGTAAGTAGAACTTGATGAAAAACTGAGACAATCTCCTTCAGCAAACTTTGGAGCGATGACACTGAGCTGTATTCATCAGTTTGAGGTAGAATCGTCCTCCGAAGGACGAACTCAAACATGTTATTATGATCTGTGAATACCAGATGAGCTTGTGCGCGCTCCATGCCATGTATGGGGATTATGTGGGCGATGAATCAGCACTGTTTGGTTTTTCTGGATGTAAGTATTCCTTTAAGAATAACGATTTTCAAAATAAGTCAACATTTCTCCTCCCCCTCCCTCTCTTCTCCTCTCCTCCTCTCACCCCTTCCATTAGCCTGAAATGAACTCAACCTCTTCCCTCTGCTCTCTCTCTCTCTCTCTCTCTCTCTCTCTCTCCTGATTTTATCCCCTGGCTTGACCATGAAAGCAGAAAAAACAACACTTGCTCCTTTTGTTTACTTTCCTCTGAATCGTGCCTGAACCAGACGTTTGTTTTGTCTTTTTGTTGCCCTCTGATTATCTTACTCATGTTGACTTTTGCATATTTGGCTATCTCGTCTGTAAACAACAGGCTCCACTAAGGGTAAAAATAGCTTGGCAGCACTAACAGGCACAAACAGAGAGCGGTGGCACCGCTGTGCCCCAAAAACTACCTCCACACAGCACTGTTTGTTTGTACTTTTGCCCCCACATTTATCCCTCGATTTCCTCTGCCGTGTTCCATTTCCAAAAGGGATACGGAGTGATATACCCTCTTATTTCCCTCTTGTTAAGACTCTTTCCGACCCACTGTTCCACTTATAGATTTATGTCGCCCCCTGGGTCCTCTGAATCAAACAGCTGATTGATTACTTCCCCTGTTCCTTATTTCATTGACTCAGAGTGTGTGTGTTTTATGTAACAGCTCTGAGGATGCACACATGCCCCGTCCATCCTGCGTGCTAAAGCCACTGTCTACCTGAATATTGTCGAGAAATTATGCACAAGCTCACCTGCTCTTCCATATGCATGAACATAAATGTGTGTGTGCATAATGTGTTTGTGCATGTGTGTGTGCATGTGTGTGCTCGGTGTTCAGTGGGGACCCGTGCAGGGAAGAAGAAGAGAACACGCTGTACCTTCCTTTACTGCCACCCAGCCTCAGCTTGCTGCCAGATTTACTGCAGTGTGTGTGTAGGTGTGTGTAGGAGTGTGTGTGTGTGTGTGTGTGTGTGTGTGTGTGTGTGTGTGTGTGTGTCTGGTCTTACCAGAGGGATGTAGTGGAGATGTAATGAACCATCTGAATGAAGGGCAAGGGGTCTGAAGTGGCTCCACAGCTGGTACACACACACTGCAAACACAAACACATCTTCAGAGAAGTCACAGGGCGTCAAACTGTTCATGTGTACGAGTTGTTTTTTTAACTAAAGCCCGAAAAACTGTTATGTAACAGCTCTTTAAAAGTCCCAGGGAATTTAGCTTGAAATAGCACAAAATGCATACATGATCTCAAACTAGTGTTTCTAAGAGAAAGGAGCCCTTCAAAACTCTCAGAAAAGAAGAACAGATCATCTGCTGAGAGCATTTCTCAGGACTGTGTGGGAGGGGCCAAGCAGATTTTGATTGACAGCTGCCTGGCTCATCTGCACAGTAATGAATCTTGTGAAAAGTGCAGACTTGAACATTATGTTGGAGTCACAATTATATAAAAAAACCTCTCCTCTGAATCAGCAGTTAGGTAGCTTGACAGCATTAAACGGATGTGAGACAATAGATACACATTGGCTACTGACATCGTGGCATCCCACTTTATTTGATGATGGGACGATGACAAATAAAAAAGATTTTTATCTAAACCCTGAATCAAGAACACAAAAGCCTACATATCATCCACAATGGAAATGAAAGCAAATGAAAAGAAAACTATCCATATACACAAACACACAAACGCTGTCAAGAAGAGTCCAAATGTTGCAGTTATGTTTACATTTTGAATTTTTAGTTCGCACTTTCTCCATGTTGAAAACCGAAACCAAGTTCATGCAAGCAGTTTCGGAAGCACGGTGGAGTCTGTGTGTCTTCAAGTCTTCAGTTTTTTTTTTCTAATACCATGCCCATCAGCAGAGCTGTTTGAATGTGTGAAGGGACCATAGAGCAGTCCTCTGAGACTCCAAAAGCAGCCAAGTCTCTGTCAGGAGAGAGAGTCCTCTGGTAAACCCCAGAGAACTGATGAATTAACGGACAATCCCAAAAATAAATGCAGCAAAGTGGATTCTTATCTACTTTGTTTTATTCGCCAAATTAGATTGTTATCAGCATTTGGTGGGGGCTCATTTTGGAACCTGTGTTCAGCCAATGTCAACCAGTTTTCTTATCATTTTCCTCAAAGGTGTCTTTAGGTAGCATTCTTGTACATTACATTTACAAAGTCAGAAGGCTGCTGTGGATTTGGATTTTCGAGGGGCTCTTAAAGGGACAGTAGCGTGTCTTACCTGTTCAAACAGAGTCATGGCAAACTTCTGGTGTGGTATGCAGTGTTTGGCCGTGCAGATGTCCTCTCTGCTCTCGGCACTGATGTGGAAGTGGATACGCATCAAGAGGTTCTCCTGAGAAACGAGCAGCGGAAAACCTATTAACGTGTTTGTTTGTGTGCTAAGTTGGTACACGTGCATGTTTGTATTATATGCACATGTACAGTGTGTTTGTGTTTGTTTGTTTATGTGTGTGTGTGTGTGTGTGTGTGTGTGTGTGTGTGTGTGTGAATGTTTGATTGTTCCTCTCTGTTGGTGCACTTGTTAATCCGACCGTGGGAGCAGCATCTATATTTCATAAGAAGCCGACGGATTCCCTGACTGAACACATTTACTACCAATCGATCAGACAGAGGCTCGCATGCACACACATAAAACACACACGCAGACACACACACACACACACACACACACACACACACACACACACACACTGTGGAGGTCTCTAAGGCAGAAAGAAAAAGAGGCAGAGAGAGAAAGAGTGAGAGAGACACTGAGAGTGGAGGAGAGCTGAAGAGAGGAGTGTAAAGACATTTCAATAAAAAAACCTGTGACTAATGACATCCTCCTTTCTTAATTTTCTCCTTTGATAATTGATAAAGTTCACTCCAAACTGAGACAGTCACGATTTTTAAACTGCAGCACTCTCATTGTTGAAAAAAACTGATGTGAAGACCTGTGCTTCAAATTCCAAATATAGGAGCAGAAGAAGAAATCATCTTTAGAAAAGGCTGGGAAAGGACTGGATGTCAAAATATATCAATAGTGTTTTGTTTTTTGCATCAATAAAGATAAATGAATAGAATAGAAAGAGTCTTTTTTCTGCCATTCAGCAATAAAGACTGTATAGAGCCGGATCCAGCTGAGCGATGTTTTTGAAATCATTAATCTGCAACATGAGTCACTGAAGATGAGCGACATCGTGACTGCCTTCTGGCTAAAGCTGAAGCAGAGTGCGAGCAGATTGTCTTGTAAAAACTCTGACACTTTTTACAAATCTTTATCAAATTTAACACTCAAGGAATCACAGAAGAGTCAGGCAAGAAAAAGAAAAAGTCAAACTATAAAACTTTAATGAGCCAGTTAGGCTCATCTCTCTGCAGCAGAATAAAAATTTACACCAAAGCATCTGTCCAACATAAAGTGAAGAAACCCCCATTTGGTGTTTTTCAAAGCTTTTTTAAGTGTTTAACTTTATTTAAACCATCTTAAAAAAGGAGGCTTTGTACGACAGTTTAAGTGCTACATGTATGTGTTGTGCTGTGAGATCCTTTTGATCTTTTTTGACTTCATCTCTGTATAAAAAATCTCCAAATGCCTCGTTTTTTAAACCAACTTAAAGCAAACAACATTCAGTTTTCTTTCTTTCTGCTTCTTTGATACTGAGCTGTTTGAGTGGATCGAGTCATACTTTCATTTTTAAAAGGTTTAAATTTTAAATTTGAGTTTATTAAAGGACAGCCTGCTAGTGTAATACAACAATACTCAAATGAAATGCTATTTGACTGGGTGAATAAATCTACAAATATTGGCGCATATTTGTGATAAAATTAGCCGATACCGATAGTCACTTGATATCCTAAAATTGGCTACCAGATTTATCGGTCAGGTTCTAGTTCTGATATCATGGCGACAAAAATATAAGTCCTAGGCACCCAATATTGGGTAATTTCTTGTTATTAATGACCTGAAATGGCAAGCCAACTCCTGGAGACTGTCTAATTTGCATAAATACATTGGCAATGTTTTGGTACCAATGTATCTATTTCAATTTAGACAGCGTCACCTCCTCTGTTCTGTGTCATAAAAATGTCACTTGATGCTAAAAGGACTTGAAAAACGTCAGTATTTGCCCACCTTTGAATATGAATGGCAAATATGACTGAAGATCTGGAAGTTTTCCTGTTCTTCTCGAGAGTATGGATCATTGACAACAGAGATTGTATCGGTTTAAAACATCAAAAAATATCTTACTATTGGAAACTTTGACAACCAAGTGTGCTAGGCTACTTCCCTTGGGGTTAAAGTAGTGTGTGAGCTCTCTGTTAGTTCAAAGTTACAGAAGGTTGAATATGGCAAGGATCACCCTCACATCGTCACACAGAGTAACAAACCGAGAAATGAAAAATGAAGACAAGAAAGAAAAAAAGAAAAAGTTGAACACATCGCACACAAAGATTCTCTGAGGCTGCCGTGTTGGATATCTTCTTAACCCTGAAGATCTCTGACTCACGCACACACTCATTCAAACCTTAAGGCAAGTCCTAAACCACTCCAGTGAGTTTGAGTGTGTGTGCGTGTGTGTGTGTGTGTGTGTGTGTGTGTGTGTGTGCAGCCATCTTGCTTCTCATACTCACAAAGCACTCTGCAGCGTCGTCCATGATACCCAGCTGAAAGCGTTGTTCGTCTTGGAAAGTCTTGGCCAAAGCGCTCCGCAGTGCATCTGATGGTAACACGCGCTCACTGCTGAACTGGAACTGAGCAAAGATACTCTGCAAACACGCAAACACACACACACACACACACACACACACACACACACACACACACACACACACACACACACACACACACACACACACAACACACACACAAAGAAATCCATCAGTGCTTCACTTCAATGCTACAAATACACACGCTGCCATAAATTCTTTTACTCCTGCATTCTTGGAGTGGAAACTCACATTATGTGTGTCCGCGCACACACGTATACATTCATGTGTGTGCGTGTGTGTGTGTGTGTGTGTGTGTATTTATGACTTCATTTCTCTGCGTCTGAAAGGAAAGCCTGTGAAAGCTGTATATCAGCATCATGTTCCGTCAACTGACCCATAAAACAGGAACGGTGGAACTAGTTGTCAGAGTGTCAGGAACCAAAGTGCTGCTCGACAAACGCAGACCGGACTAAAACAAACGCCGCAGCAGAGCCTCGCGGCGCCGCTGGCCTCAATATCACAGCGTATCAATAATAAATGGCATTTGTAGTGCACTTTCATTCGACAAAAAAAAAACCCCAGCTCTTATAGGGCCTTTGTAGAGGTAAAACAGAAAACAGAATCAAACTGTTGCAGGGGTCAGAGAGGAAGATAGGCCAGTGAAATGTGATCCCAGGGCAGAGCTCTAAAGAGGCTAAAGAGGAGGATCAGTCCGTGTGGAGAAGTTAATGCTCATTATCTAGATACTCCACTCGTGTGTGCAGCTGTGCAGGGTTGATGGGGTCATATTTCTGATCCTGATTTTGGTCAGGTTTGTTGCTCCCAGCAGGAAGGATATCCTAACAGTTACACAACACCTGATAATAACATTTGAAGAAAGTTAAACGCACAGTGTGTAAAATCCGTCGCCAGGGGGGGCGCTCAACCAAAACAATAACAAAAGATGACGTTGAGGCTAGAGGGGAATCATGGGAGTCCTCTCTGCTACTGGCAGAACACATTAAAACACATTAAAGCATCTTTAAGAGTAGATGTCCGGTCTGTCGCAATTTAGCATCAGTAACTCAAACCAAAAACATTCACTGCGACATAACGTGGTTATCTGTACATTTCGTGTTAGCTAAATAACCTGCTAGCGAAACTACCCACTCACATTCGGGGGCCAAGGGGAGGGAAACATTACCATGGTAACAGGGAGCTCCATCAATCAGAGACATTGCTGTGACGCTCCATGATCGTGAGGTAGTGTAGTTCTTTTCCCAGATATCGGATAATCGAATAAAGCATGTTTTTCTTTAAACAAGGTACAACGATTTTCTAACTGTGACTCAAGAAACGTCTACTTTTCCCAACTCTTCCCATATGAATTCACAATAAACAAGACTCGCTTGAATAAAGGTTCAATCCCCGACCCTTAAGAGTTAAAACTATCCCACAAATATTAGACATGACAACTTTTCCTGTAGCTTGTAGGATACGATGTTGAAAAAACCTGGACCGTTTATTCCCCAGTTTGTAACTTTTACATCAAGTCCACTGAAAATACTTTGATACTTTATTTTGATGCAGAAGACTTTTTTAAAAGATTTTCTTCTGTAAATGATTCATTTCAATCACTGACAGATCATTTTGTTAACTTGATGACGGTTTGAGCTCTTCAAGTGTTTTCTAGTCGTTGTTTTTGTCATACATAGTGGAGGTGGTTTCAATAGCAGCAGCTGTAGTTATAGTGCTGGGAAAAGTAGTAGTAGTCGTACCAGACGACACGTACTTGAGTAGGGGTTATTTAAGTCTAGACGTGAGTGCAGAAAAGTTGCATCCAGTTCAAGCAGAGTCCATTAGAGTGAAACCTGACTGAGTCTGGACTGAGGAGAGCAGCAGACGTCTGAGAGGGCAGAGATAAAAGCAGAGACTCTCTCCACATCGCCGACGGATAAAAATGACCTCGTTTTTTTTTGGTTGTAAGAATCCTCGGCCACACACAAAAACAAAAAAAAAAACACAAGCCACTATTTCTGACCAACAGTTAAACAGCCCAAACCAGACATGAACTCAAGCCTGTCTGACATGGCAGAGCGCTGCTGGTTGTTGCTCTTCTGGTTTTCAGCTCCAGTGGTGATTCGATCACTGAAAACCAGCAGGTGCTCTGTGACCTCCAGAATGAGAAACAGGGTATTATCTGTCAGAGATATTTTTAGAAAATCACATTTCAAAAGCACACATATCTTGTTTGTTTCCACACTTGCCGGTGTTCTTTCACGTAGTTGCAAAGCTTATGATTCATTGGAGCATTAGGGCTGACCTTCTCAGTAATATTCTTTTTGGAGAGGTTTTAATGAAATGAAAAGTTTATGAGTTATTAATCAAATCTAACAAAACATTTTGTTGCTCACGACGATGTCAAGAGACAGAATGATGTGAGAAGCTTACTCAACAAGCATGAAGGAAAAAGTGCATATTGGCGTCATTAAAGGGACACTTCACCCGTTGAAACATGAATCTGTATTGACATTGGGTCATATATGTAGTAGAAATGTGAAATACATTTTGAAGTTGGTGCCTTCTTGGCCGAGAAAAGGCAGAAAGTATCTTTTTGGCTCATGTGGATGAAAGACACCAAATCCCAGAATGCACAGCACCGCAGGCCACTCGCACTAAGGTCCTCTAGTTCAGAATCAGAATCAGAAATACTTTATTAATCCCAGAGGGACATTCGATCGTTACAGTTTCACACAAGACCGGCCTGTCGGCAGCAGCCGTCTCGCCGCTATATTTATATTTCTTCACCATTATCAGCTTTCTCCATAGAGCCTGTTAGCATAGCTTCCAAGCAATATGGCGGATGTTAAGTTTCGATTCTGGTAGTGAGTTCCCACCCACTGATCTGTGATTGGTCTGTAGCTTCAGTGGTCGAAAATATGAGGAACTAGCGTTGGAGTTTCACCCCGCTAACCGCAACAGCTTCCAGTGACGTAAAAATCGTAATTTTGCATCACTGGAAGCTCCTTTACAGACTCAGAAGATTTCCCATCTCAGGGGAAAATGAGGGCGGGATGCACGACCATTCAAAAATACTTCCAGGTTTCTAATGATACAAAGCTTAATGCAAATGGCTGAAGTATCCCTTTAACAGGATTTTCACTTGCCAAACGCTAAAACTACATTACCCACAATGCAGCTAAACTTAAAAATACATGTTCCCAGGTTTGATCCAGCGTTCCTTAGTTTAAAGTTTTTTGATCTGCCAAATATATTTCAATAAAGCATTATCTGAGTATTATTACAACATTAATGATGATGACTCATCCTGCACTCAGGGGCATTTACAACATTTTCACCAAGTCAAAAGCTTTGTTGAAGCTAATGATCCAATTGAATTCATCCCAATGTTAAGCCCCGCCTTCTTTCTTGTGATTGGTTCTATCCTGTTCCAGTAGGAAATATGTCAAGACACGGCAGTTACAGATACTCTCAAAGTTCTGTTTTATGGGGAATTCAAACTGCGAGCCTCTAAAAGAGATGACCAAGGTCTACGGTAAAGCCTCCACCTGAAATGTGTTTCATTCCTAAACTTGTAGGCTCAGGATCCTGCAGATGTTTATTCAATTGACATAACTTGAGGAAATTAATCAGATACCAGGCGTCTCTTTCTAGACCAATAAAAATGTTTTATCTGTTTTATTAAAGCAGTACTATTTTCCAATGCCTGTGGATGAGTTATTGTGAGGCTCCTATTTGTGGTGTGGTGCTCTGAATTTATAAAACAAAATAACCCAACATCACCAGCTTTCCCTGAATTAAACCAAGTTTGGGTCATTCATGACACACAAGCTATCCAGGAAATGTTATGTAGAAGACTAATAATGAGCCTGACTGTCAACACTAAGGCCATTTTACTCCACTTGATGTATACTAAACCACAGTTGGAGTGCGCTAGAAAACGGTCACTTTCACCATTTGGTGGACCATATAGTGGGCAGTAACTAACACCAGCTCATGGTTTTCGATGGTGTCCAGTTAAGAACTGTACAAAACATGGACGTAGTCTCAGTGACACCCATTGGTTTCTTCTGAGGTGTTTTGAAGCCAAACGATGCCATATTGGAAATCACTCCAGATCAGATCTAACCTATGAACCTGCTAGAAACAGGTAAAAACAAAAAAAGGTGGAGCTGAGGCCGGCCTACAACTTACCCACCTGTCAGTCAACCCAGCCCCGCCCCTTATCATGCATTACTATGCAAAACTCTGAGCTTAAATATAACTAAATGGATTCGTTATGATGGCCATTTTAAGATGGGACCTCATGGGGTTTTCCTTGGCATTTGGAACCGGCCTCCAGTGGACACAGGCGCTGACATATTCTTGCTTTTCCACTTTGTCTTTATTCAACAATGGAGGTTGCCAATTGGTAAAAACCCGAGACGAACGCAGTAAGCAGCATAGAACCACCACACTCTACTTTTTGAAGAAGATGTCACAATGTCTGGACTGAAAGAAAAAACCCTTCACATCTAAATACAGCCACAAAGAAGTGTTGTGAATATGTTTGAAGGTTGAAGCACCTGTTGAGGCTGCATTGACTGAAGCTCTACTACAGAGCATGACCTTAAGTTCATGATGAGTTAAAGAGTGCTAAAAATAGTCTATGAATCCATCTGTGGGAAACTCAGACAAGCAACAGTTCATCTAATTCATTAAGTGGCAAAGCCGTGACATTTTATTTTCTATATCTGATCATTTGAAATCCATAGTTAACATTTTGGAAGCAATAAAATGGCTGTGATCACATTGAGCGAAAATGTTATAAAACAATGGGCCTGAGAGTGGCTGAGTGTGTGCAGGCTGAGAGCTGGCAATGGGAAAGGTAATGCAGTCCTACTGATGGGAGTACATCGTGTGTGTGTGTGTGTGTGTGTGTGTGTGTGTGTGTGTCTGAGAGACAGAGAGAGAGAGAGAGAGAGAGAGAACCAGAGAAAAGAGAAGAGGAAAAAGGAACGGTGTGAGCAATATGTGTGGGTGTGTGTGTGTGTGTGTCTTTTTGTGTGTGTCTTTGTGATTATGTGAGTGTGTGTGTACTATGGTGGCTGTACTGACTGCAGCAATGCGCCAAGGAGAATGGAGGGGGAATATACCCTACAGAGGGAGGGAGGAGAGGAGAGGAGAGGAGGAGGAGGAAGAGGGGAGGAGAACAGGGAGGGATGAGGCAGAGTGAGTAAGAGAGGGTCGGATACATGTGTGAGAGTGTGTGTGTGTGTGTGTGTGTGTGTGTGTGTGTGTGTGTGTGTGTGTGTGTGTGTGTGTGTGTGTGTGTGTGTGTGTAAGTGTGTGTGCAGTGGTCTAAGCATGAAGAGAGGAGCAATCTACAGCAACTCCCCCAATCATTCGTCATTCTTCTCTCCCACTTTCTTCTTCTTTCTTCTTCTTCTTCTCCCTTTCTTTTCCTTGCGTGAGTGTGTGTGTGTGTGTGTGTGTGTGTGTGTGTGTGTGTGTGTGTGTGTGTGTGTGTGAGTGCTGTTGAGAGAGATCAAGTGTTGCAGTGATTTCTAGAGGGATAGCCACAGGCAGCCTCTCAACTTATGTTTACTACAAGGGCGAGCGTCTTTATCTGCTGCAGTTAAACAAAAGAAATCTCACACACAATCCCCCCCCCCCCCCAAATAAAAGCACCAATAATCATCACTTATCTCCTCGCTGCTCCGAAATGGATGTTTTTAAAACGCAGTTAAAGTTCATTTGCTGCCTGTCTTGCTCAGTTATTCAGAGACTTTAATCTTTGTTGCCGCGGGGACCGCAGCTACAATCACACTGTAACAAAATAAAACATTACATCCTGTTGGTTTCTGACAAAGGAGAGGCGGTGACACGATGCTTAATGAAAAGTGACAGCAAAATGTGAACACTTAACACGTCGACAATACCTTTGATTTGTACGCCCACACCTGACTCACACACAACACGAGCACAAGCCAGTGTGTGTGTGTGTGTGTGTGTGTGTGTGTGTGTGTGTGTGTGTGTGTGTGTGTGTTTGGAGCCTCCCAGCATGGTTAGGAAGATTTGCGAGCATCTCAAGGTGCATGTGTGTAACCGCCTAACGTGTGCGGCATGCAAGTAAGATTTGTATGCATGTGTAGGTGTGTGTGTTTGTGTGTGTGTGTGTGTGTGTGTATGTGTGTGTGTGTGTAGCATCCCAGCGTGGGCTCTGCTAGCTCAGCGCTTTCAGTCAGCCAATTAATTACAGGGAAGCGCAGGAGACAGAACAGCGTGTAGAACACACACATCGCCGCTGCTTCACACACACACACACACACACACACACACACACACACACACACACACGAGCGCACACACACTACTACACTTAAGCACATTACACACAACACTTCCCTTCGCTCAGACACATATTTGTCATCATCGATGCAACAAATGGTTCGAGCAGAGCTGCATACGGCTTGCTCATTATGAGGGATTCATGGTGTTACAGATCTACAGCTCCTTGTTTGGTTTCTTCCTTTCTGCAGCTGCTGGATGACAACACGGTGATTCAATCTCAGACTGTCTTCTAAAGAGGTTCAAAGTGCTGTTTCTTATTCATAGGCAGCTCTTTACAGGGAAAAAGTGCCTGCTGCATGGTGCCAAACAGAACCTGCTTTTTAGATAAAAGTAGACGACGAAGAAGAACAAGCAACAGCAAAGAGGGAAACAAATGGTATAGCATATGGTTTAAACTCAGGCTTATGTTAATGTGTTCTAGATGAGGGCTACAATCTTGAATTAATAAATGCCTAAATATTAAAGGCAGGGTTGGTCATTTTCTCCAGATATACTTTTTTTTTGGTTGAAATTGTCTCGGCCTCCTGACAATCATTCATGAGCTCTGAAAAGGGAACAAAGAAAATCCGTCATCTGTAGCAGTTGTAAGCGTGTAAAAGCTTTGACCAATGTCTGCCACGAGGTACCAACCTGATGAACCAATCACACGCCTCCCTGTCTCCCTGCACCCACACTCAAAGCAGCAGAGCTGAGGTCCGCTTGTGGACCAATGGCGCTTGTGCATGTAAGTGAGGGGCGTGGTTTTTGAGGGAGCACAGAGAGGATTGCTACTTTCAAAATCATGCTAATTTTGCGAAAATGACCAACCCTGCCTTTAATGGACAAAGCTGGAGTGATGTCACCCGTCTGTTAATTCAGGATGGAGGCTGCCATGCCGGAAATGCTGTCTGAACCTAACTGTCAGTCAACCTATCAACAGGTTTGAAAGCTGGAGCTGAGGCGGGTTTAAAGCCTCTTGACAAACTGTGACATCACACCAGCCTGTCAATCAAGTGAGCTACTCACCTTATTGTGAATAACGCTTATCATTCATAAAATCAAAACGGATTAGAAAGAAGAAAGTTCACCCCCTGGAGTGTGCAGATCGAGAGAGCTAATCAGACCTTTTTTTAGTTTTTTGTACCAGGATTTGAATATTTTAATTTCTGGCTTTTTTGAATGTGGTGTGTATGTGACTACTGGTGCATATGCACTCAGCCTCAAGTGGACACTCTAGGAACTGCAGGATTTTGCACTTCAGCACCCGGCTTTAATTTTCAGCACTGGAGGTTACATGTTCTGGTGGTAGCTTATGGGTTATCAAATATGTTTTGTTTGTTATTTTACTTTAAATGTGGCTCGATGTCAGTCTGGATTTTCAGTGTAGGTTTTTTTTTTTTTTTCCGAAACTTTAAGGAGGCGCTGAAATGACAATTTTTCAGATTCTCAAGCAATAAAACATTATAGCAGCTTCCTACCCCGAGCATGTCTTCACAGGAAAATGGCTGCTGTGTGAATATAGTTGTTTTTACTTTTTATGGTAGTAGGTATCATCGTCTTACACTTTTTAAATTACTGTCAAACAGCACTAATTATCGTTTTCAACTTTTTCTTTATTTCCAATTCTTCTTTTAAACTTGAAAACATGCAGCTAATCTTCCTCCTTTCTAGATTCATTCTAGGTTATAACATACAGTGGGAGAGAGTGGCTGTGTTCTTTAGCAGACAAGTTGTGCCTACGACAAGGTAAGCACACGTCCAGGAAGGAAACATGAGTGAATAAGAGAGGAAAGACAGAATACATTGAGCTTCTATCAGGTTTCAAGTGTGCAGTCTTTAGGTGTCATGTTGGTTTAGCCGTCCAATGAAACGCTAAAATGTGCTGGAGGAAGAGAAAAACAATACGGCAGTATACAGATGTCCTAAACAGATTTCCCTCGTACTTCATGATGACTCCTCATACTGGAGCTGACGACATTAATAAAGGCAACGTGAACAGAAGTTTATTAGAAGAAGAAGGTGAAAGCGGGTTATGAGAAGAAGAAGAAGAAGAAGAAGAAGAAGAAGAAGACAGCAGGTCGAAAAAAGATGAAAAGACGATAAAGGATCAATTGTGATGTGAAATAAATACATTAATCCTGCACTTTACCTTTTTAGGGACATTTTATATTCTTCAGTCCGTCAGATATTACATGATCTTCTAGCAATCTATCAATTACTGCAGAATCATGATGTAATCTCTATCGTGAGCCCTCGTATCACATATCATATCGTATCATTACCCTGAGGTTCCCAACCACACTCAACCAAGAGGGAAGCACTCAAACAAAGAACTTCATTTCACTTCTGACATCACATTTTTGACAGTGATCTGTGTGTGTGTGTGTGTTTCTGTGTGTGTGTGTAGTAAAGTGAAAAGAAAACGTAAAGGAAACGCTAAGTTAACCACCATGTCTGCAGAGAAAAGCAGCGAAACAGAGAACAGCAGCAAACGAGGAAAAATGGAGTCCTGGTGCTGTCAAGAAATCGGTGAGTCGTTAGGGGACAAAGGGAGAGTTTTATGTTTACCTTCAACGCGCAGAAGATACACGAGTCCTCCATACACTTGTGTGTGGTCAACTGTCGGAAGCTTCTGCGGAAGATGTCGAGATGCCACAGTACCTGAGAGACAAACAGGAAAAAATGAAATGTAAGCAGTTGGATCAACGTCTGAGATTTAAAGTGGAATATACTGTGTATCTTATTCAGCCATATAAATATTTTTTTTCTCTCTCAGGTCCCAGTGGATCTGAGGCCTATTCTTCTCTTCATTTCTCTTTGTTGTTGCACCCTCTCTTTCTTTGCCCATTTTTCTCCCTTTGTCTCTCCGAGCAGGTTGTTATTTTTTTGTGTTTCCGCCCTGTGTTTGAGTTGTCATCTGCTGTGTCTGGCAGAGAACAGGGGACATTTCCAGGATCTACTTTTAAGGGGAATTTCTGGACGCTCTGAACACGCGCCCTGTTTATAATTATTTTGGGATCTTACCGACTTGAGGGAACAAAAAGTTTGGAACTACCCGGGTGGATCACTTCCGGGGCAGCTGTCAATGAGACAATGAAGCGAGGCGAGATACTGAATCCCAAAAACCCCTGAAGACAAAGCCTTAAATGTGTAAGATAATGAGGACTTTTGCATAGCATAACAATGTGTATGTGAAGGGTTGGATGTAGACATGTTGTTACAAGCACCTTGACTGGTTAGAAGACAATTCCAGCAATTAAATACATGATCAAGTCACATTGGATTCACCCATTTGAAAGCCCTGTTTATTACACAATGACGCTAAGAGTTTATGTCATTACAGCTGGTCGCTATAGTGACACAGCATGGCGGCAGTAACTCAGTCTGTAGGGACTTTGGTTGGGAACTGGAGGGTCACCAGTTCAAGTCCTGGTGCGGACCAAATCTGGAAATTGGTCTGGTAGCTGTAGAGGTGCCAGGTCACTTCCTGAGTACTGCCGAGGTGCCCCTGAGCAAAGCACCAACCCCCTCCCACCAGCTCAGGAGTGCTCTCTGCAGCCCCCTCACTCTGACATCTCTCCATTAGTGCATGTCCACAGGATCATGATCGTGCATTTGTGTGCGTAGCATGTTCAGCAGCAGAGTGTAAAATTGAATTTCCCCTCGTGCGATGAATAAAGAATATCTTCTTCTTCTTCTTTTTCAAAGCAGTCATAGTGACTAACAGTAAATGACAGATGAAATGCTATAAATGCTTAGAAGAAGACATTATTAAGGTTTAAAAACTGTGAACCTATAGTCCAGATGCATTTCAAGCTCTTGAGTTTGTGTAACTGTTGGCGCCCCCTGTGGGACAATGTGGTAGCTGTTACAGTTATCTGACGTCCTGTCCTGAACATTGGTAAAGAGTGTTCTCATCTTTTTTACAGAGAAATCTCATCCTGCTTTCTTTAACAGTCAAATGCACAACTGAAAGTCTTCCAAGTGAAATGTAAACAAAGGCTGTTTCAGCATCGTGCTGTCAGCCTCTGCGTCTGACATCATCAACTCACTGGCACCAGTTTCAGGCATGAAAACAACCGTATGAAATAATAGTCCGTCTTTATACCAATATGAATCCCATTTGCTTTTGTTATTCCTAAAGATGCCTTCATAATCATTTTGAGTCTATTTCATAACAAGTCGAACCTCCTCACAGGAACTCTTGGTGATAACATAATGGAGAATGTTTCTGTCAAAACGGACTCAGGTGTTGAAGGGTTTTTTTTCACAAGAGCAAACAAGCAGAATGAAGCTCATTGACTCAGGTGCATAACAGTGTGTACTATTTTCTCTTGGTCGCATTCTGGGCTTTTTTTTACTATTGCATAGGACAGCTGAAAGGAAACGTAGGGAAGAGAGAGGAAGGATAACGTGCTCCAAAAAGGTTGCAGATCAAAAGTTGAACAAGTGATAACGTCTTTGTATACGGGGCGCCGGCTTTACAGACTGAGCACTCAGTGAAGCTGCTCGCTTATATTTCCTGTACATAGAGGTTTAAAGTTCAACTTCAGAAGACTGCTGCAGAGAGGGTCCCTCTGCTAGCTCTTCACTTTACAACATGACTCAAATACTGCCAAGACAGCCTCATCTATATTAGTTCTCTGTGTGGAGCTCTCTCGATTGGTCATGACTTATTGGCCTCGAGGAGAAATAACGCTGAAATATAAAAAAAAAAAAGTTGAAGGAAAGGAGTGGGAGATGACACGCAGCGTGAGGCCAAAAGGTTGGAGTTCAACAACCCGGAGCCACTGCGTCAAAGACTGTGACCTCTGACCTCTGGTGCAAACGCTCTAACCACTGAGCAGTCACCCCCATATTAACGACTGACTTGTACATGTGAGGTTTACATTTAGCTTCCTGTAGCTTTAAAAACAGGATAGATTTATTTTGCTGAATCTGGATCTAAAGACTTCCCTCAATCTGGGGAAGGGGGGGGCAGAGAATCAGTTTTCCACAGCTTTGTGTGCTTTCCAGCCATTTGGAGCTAATTGGTTTTCCCAGCAGCTCCTGCTGAGTGTGTTTTCCACTTTGTATATTTTCAGCAACAAAAAGAGTGAGAGGCAGAGATTCAGCGGGACAGAAAAAAAAAATCATCCGGCGCAGAGCCCAAAGGAAGAAGAACACTTAAAGAAACTAGTGGAGAAGTGGTCCGTGGAGGTAGACCTCTTACTGTCCTTCTCTCTCTCTCTCTCTGGTGCATAATTAGAGGGAAGAGCTCTCAGTACATCCATCCAGCATGCTGAAAGATAATATTGACACAACACTGTCCCTGAGGCTTCCACTCAGATCCACAGCACAGGACCACACACACAGAAACACACTTACAGAATGCACAAGAAGCAGCACAAAATACACACACACAAAAACCAATATGTATGGCAACCTTAGCAACACAAGTCTGCACCATGTCTGTGTGTGTGTGTGTGTGCATGAGTGTGTGTGTGTGTGTTAACTAGAGAGTGATAGGTGGAGGAAAGAGGGGGCGGAGGATGACGGACTGTATGCTGACGCTTGTGTATGTGCTCTACTTTTCCTCCCTCTCCGTTTTGCCCTCATCGCTTTCTCTGTCTCTCTCTTGTTTCTGTGGTCGTGATGAATCGGCTCCCTGCACAGCACTGCAGCAGCCACAAGGAGGGAGCACTCTCTCCATGCCCGGCTCTCTCTATCAGTATCTATCAATCTATCCATCTCTCTGCCTCTTTCCTCTTTTTCTCATCTTTTCCCCCTCTCTCTCTCTCTCTCTCTCTCGATCTCTCTCTCTCTCTAGTGGTGTCATTGTCTCCCTCTCTCTTTCACTCAATCTTTCTGCAGGAACGTCTCAAACAAAGGAAACAAAAGCAGAACTAACAGGCAAAGATACAAAAAAGTGATCAAATACAAAAGCAAAGAATGGCCTCATTGTGTTTCTTGGAAGTCATCTGATTGTCATTTTAATTTGAGCTACAGACAAATCCAACAAGTAGGACTATATTTTATTGACAATGGGGGTCTTTGAAAATGGGGTCCTGTCACTCTGTTTGAAAGAGGTACTATATCTGTGTTTATTATCACGACAAGGAAGTCAAGTTATTAAAATGTATAATCCATACCATTTTAAGAAAAACAAACTATTTATCATACAATCCATGGTCTCTAGTTTTGGTAATATCCATTAATGATATTTACATCCAGTCACTTTCTCTTTGTATTTGTTGTGAGTGTTTGTTTCACATTAAAGTATTCGACTTTCAAAACACTGCTTTCATTTTGAAGAGGCAACAAGAAGTGCAACGCTTTAACCGTGATTTGTAAAATCAATCACTTTTGCACCTACTTATCCAAAGTAAACGACAGGCCTGAAATGTCTAAAATGTTTAGGATTACGACTTTGACCGTGACACCATGAGGCATCTGTGAGTCTGTCGTCTATTAATCAAAAGGTTTTGATCTCCAGCTCCAGCAGTCCACAAGGCCAAGTGTCCTTGCGCAAGAAGAAGAAGTAGCAGCCTCCGGGGTAGAAAAATGAAGCTAATGTGGATGTGCAAAAAAAAAAGCGCAGTTCCTTCAGTGTCCACTTGAAGCTGGCTTCCAAAGCCCTGGAAGTCACATACACACGCATTGTCAAAAAGACAATTTTCATTTCAAAGCAGAATTAAAAAACATGTTTACAGCCTGGTTCAAATAACACATTTTATTTGAATAGTTCTCGTGTTTATCCACACACACTGTACAGGAGGTAAACATTTTTTTATGACTGATCCATTTTGATTTAAAAGGATAAGAGTTATGTATAGTTAGAGGAGTTACTGATATAACGTTGTAGCTGTTTGCTAGGAGTTAAAGGTCCAGCCTTAACTCTAGCTCTTTGCCTGCTACTAGGTTGAAAGTTAGGAGAAAGCGTTTTCAATATGGCGACTGGCATTGATAGGCTTCAAAAGTCCGCTTCAGAAACCAATGGGTGACGTAACTGAGACAACGTCCATGTTTTGTACGGTCTGTAGGAAAGGCAATGAACCCCACATCGCTCCTGGTGGCATTGACATCGGCATGTCAATGGGATTAGTTAATACTGACTGACACTTTACATCACATCCTCTAACATCAGAGTATGAAAGTGTGTTTGATGTGACATGTATGAAAAAGCCCTTTAAATGGTCAGAAGGCTTGGAAAGCGCTCTACAAGTACAGTCCATTTACACCAGACTATTGGTTTATATCCACTCAGAACTGGAGAGGACTGGTTTCTGTGAGGCTCAACACAAAAAAAAGAAGTCAGATACAGAAATACTTGTGCAGGACTAAAAGATAAACTCTCTTTTAACACTAAACATATTTTAAAACAAGCAGCTCACTCTATAGGTGAATACAGTGTTAATATAACAGTCACGTTAATACACACTCATTATCTGCTGGTTGATTTCAGCCCTCCATGACCTCATCCTCCTACTGTTTTTGAATCTTATTAACGCTCGTGGCAAAGGCATATCTTCTCCAGGGCATTTTCTGCATCACATGGTAGTGCCGTAGTCATGGCAACAGTCAGTTTCTTAATTTTTCTTGCACTTGTGACCCCCGGTAAGCTGTCTGCCAGCTAACAGGTTTTCACAGCAGAAAAATGTTGACCTCAAAAATCACACGAA